AATGGGTTACTTTGTGGAACGAGAAGCGCAGTAACGTCAAGGGTGGTGACGGTGGGTTCACCGTGGATATTCTCCGCAGTGGTATGCCTACCGTGGAATTCCTGCGGGACATTGTCGTTCTGGATAATGCGGCCACCCGACCGTTCCGGACATGCGTGGAACGGCCGAAGGTGGACAAGACGCTGCTTGAGACCTACACCCGTCACTGGTTTGCCAGAGGATGGCTGTCAAAGCCTCCTGTGCGCCAGCAGGCGCTGAACGGAACTGCGAAGCTGGCCAAAGGTCCGCTTAGCGGCCGTGTCGCTGTTGTCACCGGTGCGTCATCCGGCATTGGTGCCGCAGTGGCTACCGCTCTCGCACGCGAAGGTTGCCATGTTGCGCTTGCCGCTCGTCGTGTGGAAGCTCTCGAATCGTTGCAGAAGCAGCTTGCAACCCACGGAGGAAAGATTATTGCGAAGAAGACGGATGTCACGAACAAGGCACAGGTGGACGCTCTGTTCCACGACACCACCCAGGAGCTTGGTCCTGTCGACATTCTCGTCTCCTGTGCGGGTGTCATGTATTTCACTATGATGGCTAATGTGCAGACGGATGAATGGGAGCGAACGGTAGACGTGAACTGCAAGGGTCTCTTGCACTGCCTGTCGGCTACGGTCCCGGGCATGCTGTCCCGCGGCGCCGGACATATCGTGGCTATCTCTTCTGATGCCGGTCGCAAGGTGTTCCCCGGCCTGGGCGTGTACTCGGCCAGCAAGTTCTTTGTCGAAGCGACGTTGCAGTCTTTGCGTTTGGAGACTGCCGGGACGGGATTGCGTGTGACGAGTGTGCAGCCTGGCAATGTTGCCACGGATCTGTTGGGGATGAGTACGGACGCGGAAGCGCTCAAGAAATATGGCGAGCCGTCGGGGGCGGAGGTTTTGGCTCCGGAGGATATCGCCAATTCGATTGTGTATGCGCTGTGCCAGCCGGCACATGTTTCTGTGAATGAGGTGTTGATCGAGCCCCGGGATGAGCCGATTTAATGGGCCCATATTGATAGACTATAGACATGCATGAGTGAATGTAATCAAGGTTTCTTGTTGCCAATGGTTGGTGACATCGGATCACATTGATATCCGGGGATCTATTTTCAATGATCAGCATGTTTACACTTTCCGTTCCAACTTCAGGTCTCACGATTCGTTCTAATAACCAGCGTTTCTACAGTCTCTACCTGTCAACATCGTACACCACTCATCGCATTGCCTCCACCATCTGCAATGGTCTAGACCCAGACCCATACTTGAGGAGGCCCAAACCCAACAACCGACACATTCCAATCAACATTCCTTCCAACCACCACGATACATAAGACAACAACCCCCCCACGTTCTCCACTTATCCAAACACCTCACATCCACCCCCTGGCACTCTACCATAATGCATTTCCAATCCCTAACCACCACTCTCCTTCTCCCCCTCCTCCTCCTCACCAGCACACACGCAACACCCACCACACCGTCCACAAACCCTGACGAATTCACCCAACTCAACTGCCCCAACACCACGACTCCCACCGCGACCCCCGCCGAGCAACTCGCCGCGTGGACCGAGTTCACCAAGCTGATGTACACCGAGCACCGCCTCAGCGAGGCCCTCACGCACTACGTCGCAGGGCAATACATCAACCACTCGCCGCTGGTGGCCGGCACGGGCGTCGGCGCGACGGCGGCGGAGCTGACGAATCTCGTGCCGGACGTCACCTCGCAGCTGCAGCGGGCGTTCGTCGGGTGGGATGCGGCGGGCAATGCCTTTGGGGTGGCGCATACGCGGGTGATCCCGAACTCGCAGGGAGACGATACGAAGGGAGGGGAGTCGGCGCTGGTGGATATCATTCGGATGGTCGGGACGTGTATGGTCGAGCATTGGGATGTAGAGCAGGAGGTTGGCTCGGCGGGGGCGGGGGGGAATCCGATTGCTTTCTTCTAGGGGTGTTCATTTGGAGGTGTTAGGAGGTAGATGAGTTGAGGATGGATGGGGAGGTGTTTGGGGTTGAGGTTGATGCTATATGTTGGGTTGGGTGCGTTGCTGGATTGGGCTTGATGGGTGTATACGATATACGCGTATACTAGATAAGGTGCAGTGATTCAATTGAGTAATGTTTGACATGTTCACTCTATATATGGCATCCAATGCTTGGGTAGATTAGTAGTTAGCTGTTTACTTTGCTTTATCTTATTTTATTTTTCTTTGTCGAGGTGATTTCTGGTAAGCTATGTATATAACGGAATGGAGACCCCGTGAGCGGATAAAGGGCGTGAACCTTGGTATTATAGAGAGAACTTCAGATGATTTCTAAGGATTAAGACATTATTAGCGAGTTTACGGCCGACAATGTACCTTTGTATAGATTACATATTTTGTTATATTGATTTAGCACTATGGGGTACATGAACAAGTGGTTAAACGATAAGTAACTTGAGAACCATTGAAATTTTCTTGATTTTCTTGGTGGTTGGTGGAACTAGAACTAGCTACGTAATCAAGTGGGAAAAGGCCTTTGGAATCACGTGGCCGGATTAGCGACGCTGACACCTGTGATCTGTGTACAATCAAGTCAACAGATCAACATGTAAGATTGTTGTCGCTTCTTACAGCCAGCAAAATCGATGTGCACTTTACTCACCGGCTGTTGTGCCTGTTAGCCGGTCTTGTCCGATCGGCTCAAACAAGAGTCGGACTTAAGCCAGGGTACCGGCAGCGCACCCGACATCGGAGATCGGACATCTGCTATCCACCCCGCGTATAGTAACATCAACATCGGACCCTGGGTTAGGGCTCCCCGCAGCACGTCTGGGGAAGCAGTATTCGGAAATGAAGATAAAATGCAAGCTCTCCCACACAATTCATCACTCCTTCCTCTAGACAAACCACAACACACACAACCATCAACATGACCTCTCAACCTCGCCTCAAGCTCGCCCTGATCGGCCTCGGCCGTCTGGGAGCAATCCGCGCCGAAATCCTGGCTTTTAAGCAGCCTCGCATCGAGCTCGTCGCCGCCTGCGACACGAAACCCGGGGCTGACGAATGGGCGGCGGCCAATCTGCCCGCCTCCGTGAAGTTCTTCGCCGATCCAGAGGACTGCATGAAGAACAGTGGTGCCGAGGCCGTCCTGATCTCGACGGCGACCGCTACCCACGCGCCTTTGATTATCAAGGGTCTCGATCTGGGTCTGGTGAGTTCTAGTACTCGGCGTCTATTGCAAACTGGGGTAGAGACTGACACACTTGTCCAGCATGTCATGTGCGAGAAGCCGATCTCGGTCGATGTGATCACCACCGAGGAGGTCCTCGCCAAGGCTGCTTCTAAGCCTCACCTCAGATTCCTGGTTCCCTTCTGTCGACGATGTGGGTGGACTCCAGCCTCCTGTGCTGTGGCAACTAGTGTCTAAGACTGAGCTGACCCGCGCTAGACGATGAGTCGTACCGTCAGGTGAAACAGATGGTCCAGGATGGCGCACTCGGAGACGTTCACGCAGTCGAGAGCTCTTGCCTCGACCAGCAGGATCCTACAGGTGAGCGGCCCCAAGCTCCAATTCTCCCGCCCAAGTAAGCCCATTGACTAACTCACCGTGTCTCAGGCTTCTTCGTGCGCTTCTCCGAGCAATCCGGAGGCATCTTCGTTGACATGGGTGTTCACGATGTCCGTCCCCTCCCCCAAAGCCTCCTCTTTTAAACCTCCCTCCTAACCCTAACCTCCAGATCGACATCGGCCGGTACTACCTCGACGTAAAGTCGGGCCTCACCAACCCCAAGAAGCAAGTTAACCGAGTCGTCGCCGTCGGCCAACAAGCCGTCTACGGCGAGCTGTCAAAGTACGGCGACGCCGATAACGGCTGGGGACTGGTAGAGTTCGCCAACGGCAAGATCCTGACCTTCCACCTGGGCCGGACGCTCACCAACGGGTTTGAGGGGATGACGCGTGTGTGCGGCACCAAGGCGCACTCGGTGATCAACGCCAACTCCACCATCAACCGTGTCGAGGTGCGCGACGCCCACGGCGTGCGCACCGCCACCACCCCGGACGCCTTCGTGCTGTACGACAAGTCCTTCCTCAAGGATCTAGAGGAGTTCGCTACGGCCTGCCTCGATGGGGCGCCGTTGACGTGCGCGCCCGAGGATGCGTACGAGGCCGCCAAGATCGCCACGGCGCTGCAGTTCTCGTTCCGCCACGGCGTGCCCGTGTACTTCGATGATGAGGGGTTGGCGATTTTGGATGCGGGTAAGAAGGCGTGATTTCTGCGGAGGGAAGGTAGTGGATTGGGTTTATTGGGATAGCGTTTCGCATGTTCGTTTCATTCTTAGGAGTGGTAGACGTATAGACCTGTGGGTTACGAATTAAAATATGTGCATGACATTTTCGTTTTGGTTCGAGGCACTTAGAACCCTGGGAGTCGATCCCATAGAGTTGACGTCTCTAGCCCTATTCCTAGCACTAGAGTCTAAACATCTCAAAACGAGATCGCATTATTGAAGGCTGGACTTGGTTGTACGTGTCCAGGAACTTTCTTCCATGTCGCTAAAAGGACCAAGCGAGACTTTTCCGACACCAGAGGGAGAACCACCAGAATATCCAAAGTTTCATAGTTGTTGATATTCGAATCTGAAGCCTTTCTTCTTTTACCTCGCATGTCACTCACCATTCCCCTATCCATTAATCTCTTGTACGAAGCAAGTACTACCTCGTCTTCTCTTCCACCGATACATTTGAATTCAGCTTGATTCATACAGGTGTTTTCTCCACAGTTCCAGAAACAAAAAAAACACAGATTGAGTGATCAATAGGCTATACGCGTCTATATCAATATTCGCTATTCGATTACGAGAGCAAGCGAGAGAATTGGGAAAAGTGCACCTCACCCTATCCGGAGAATACTAGTTCACCCAAGAGGCATATGTAGGTCAGTAGCAGCCACATGATACAAACCAGTCCACCCCTTAGAGCCTAACACGACCCAACTAGCCCAGCGGTATACTCCCCAATAAATCCTGCAGAAGCATCGGATCCCAGAAGTCCTGCAACTACATCGATACAGTACACGTTAGCCTTCGCAGACCGCAGACAACGGAGAATGGAACGGAATATCTCACCAGCTCATTAGTCGAATCCGGCGTCACCATCGGCAACGACGAGCCCGGCATAATCATCGAATTATCACCCTGCAGCATGCCAAAAAAATGGTGAAGGTCATTCGGCGACGGATTAGAGCCCACGTCAATACCATGCGGCGAATCGGTGGGCGTCTCATCCGCCAGCTGGATCGTCGTCCGGATCGTCTGGCGGCCCTGACCCGCCCGTTCGATCAGCCGCGTCCGCCAGCCCAGCAGCTCGACGTCCTCGCTGTCCTCCCGGTCCTCCCGCCGGACCGCATCATCCGGGGCCTCTGGCTGCGTCGACGCGGACGCGATTTTGGCCGACGCCCGCGTGCGGAGCTTCATCAGCCACTGCAGGTTCCGACCGTAGCGGGGGGTGTTGGCGCCGTGTTGGATCAAGGAGATGAAGAGGTTGATCGCGGCGTCTAATTGGGTTAGGGCAAAGGTGGCCATGGGATTTCTGGGGTCGCGCAGCACGAGGGTTCCCAGGCAGAGAGCGGAGCCGAAGACGTGGTACTAGAATAGAAAGGTGGTTGTGAGAGATGTTCTGGCCCGGAGGGATTCGGAAGGAAGCGCCCACCCAGAAGTTCCATTGTCTGGTGCTGACCGCGGGGAAACGGGTGTGAATGTCGTCGACAATTGCGATGATGATCTGTATGCGTCAGCTCGAGACTATTGTCTGTGAGAGGGGCATCGGAGACGGAAGGGCTCACGGCGCAACGCTCTATCACGGTCAAGAATGAAGGCGCGTATACGGATCTCATGCGGTCGTTGATATCGTAAAGAGCTTTTGCATAATATGGTCGATGGAGGTTGATGATCGTCTCTGAGATGTTGAGCGCTAGATTCATTTGCTGCCGAGTACTCAGTCAGAGAATCCAAGTTGGCCTGGAAAAAAGACGAACCTGAAAAGAAATGGTCATCGACCTGCGGGACGGTTCCGGCGATGCCTCGATTGCCGCTTCGACGTGAGGGTAGCGAGAGGGCATGGACAGGAACGCGGCTCGACAACGAAGGGAGAAAGGCAGGTTGCGCTCAAATTCGCCGCTACAGAGCGTCAGCTTTCAAGCCAGACTGTGGCGGGCGAGCACATACAGTCTAATGTCGAGGTCGGTGACAGCCGAGTACGGTGGTTTGTGCACCTTCATCGCCATATGGAGAATTCTGCGGTCTGATTAGATGTGACGCTTCCCCGGAACGACAAGAGAAAAACACACTCGGACGAAAGCTGCGAGAGCTCAAATCGAAGAATCGAATAGCTCTTTTCGCCGGTTGCGCTCTCCGGCTCGGAAGGGAATGCGACATCGCAATGTTCCGGATTGATAGCGCATCTGCCTGAGATTAGACATATCATAAGACCTGCACGGGGAACTCATACGGCCTTGAGAAGCAATGTGCCTGGAAGGTGTCGGCGGCATTCAACTCCCAGAATACCTTGCGTCTTTCCTCAATCACATCCTGCGGAAGATTCCAGCGGGCACCGTCTCGATGCATACCCATCTAGACATATAGAATCTCCATCAGTGGTGAACTTCACTTGGAACAGTTGTGCTTACCGCTTGAACTAACCGCATGACCAGACCCCAGAGCGGCCAGGCATTGTCTCCACGGCCCCCTTTATCTAAATGTCTAGACCAATTTCAGTGAAAGAGTCAAATTGCGGAGCCACTCAATAACGTACAGATGCAGATGCGCCATCAAATGCTGCTGATCGTTAGCGGTGAAAGATGGCGACAAGCTCAAGACTCACTAGAGTTTGTAGTCCGGCGACCATGTTGTTGGATAGGAAGCGCCCTTTCACCAGAGCCAACTCCGAGAGATGCAGCCAGTCCTCGGCCGATGGATCATAGTAAGGCATCTCAATGTTAAACAAGGTGCCTTGAGCCAGGACGATGAACAACAGCGCAATCTCCTGCGGATTGACCCGCGGGGATACGGACGCCCCCTCGGCAAACTTGTAGACGCGGTCGAAGGTCTTCTGGAAACTGGCCTTGGGAGCAACATCATGACTAAACCATTGTCAGCGTTGCCTCGTAAACCCCGTCAACACACTCACTGCCAAGCACAATAGCGATAGTACGATCCCACCAATGTCTCTGCCTCCTCCTTAGCGGGTAGGCGGGAAAGCAGCTCCCGAGTACTGACGTGTGAGGCCGCCACATTGAACGGAAAGGCGATGGGAGTGGTACCGGGAGTCAAGCGATGGGGCTGGGATGGAACCGAATCTGGGATCTTGGGGGAAGGAGCGCGGGTCACCGGGGGACTGTCCGATGCGTCTTGGGTTTCCGACTACGTAGATACACATCTCAGTGGCTGGAACGAGACTCCAGCAGAGATGACCTACCTCTTTCAACCATTCACTGCCGGCCGTCGGGCCCAGGTACTTGGACCGACCTCCTTTACCCAACATCAATGTGCCGTAGGAGCCGTTCTGTTCGGCCACGCCAAGGGGCTGTGGGACGGGATTCTGGTAGCCACTGTTCCTTCGATCGCTGGGCCCAGATAGGTTAATTCGGCCTGAAGCAGCCGAAGAGAATTCTTGCAAAGGGTCGGACTGTAGCGCGTGGGCTAGAAGGGCCAGTTGTTCAAAGTCATCCCTTCTGTTGCCGTTATGCGGCGGTTGCCGTGAGTTGCGGCCCGAATGGTCGGCGGACGCCTGCTCCGCGGCAGTGTGTTGGGTTTGACCGTGATGTTGTGAAACATCATGTTGAGATGGCGTGTTCCAGATGTGTATGGATGGATGAGCCAAGCTAGGGGTGTCGGGTGAACGGGGTGCATTGTCTTCCTGGGGAGGGGGATGTTCAGCTGGTGCAGGACTCTTGCGCTGTTTTTTGGGTGTATCAGATCCTCTGCCATAGCAGCCAATTAGTATGATGCAGGCATGCATAAGCACATGGAACGTGAACCAACCGGGACGGTGTAGTGTCGGCTGCACCTGGGTTACAGAATGAGGTCCGGCGTCGGCGGACACAGTTTGAGCACGGCACTGCAATGTTCCTTCTTTCAGCCGATGGGCACGGTCTCCATACGTCAAACTCAAGTTACTGACACTGCCGATCACATTTCATCTTCAGCCGGCGACATTCTGCAAGGGTTATTGGAATTAACCTTTCTATACGTTTGATCGTCACATTCTACGAGGAAAGCAGCACTGACCTGCACAGCTGAGGGATGGGCGCTGTCTTCGCTGCTTTTTGGTCGGTCTGGGATTGTCATCGGCCTCATGGCTAACTCTTGCCGATGGCTGGGAGCGGTCCGACCCTGGGCTGTTGGTCATCATGCCATATGAATCGGGGTTGCATGGAAGAAATGGCAGCGGGTGTTGTCGATGATGGAGAAGCCGAGGAGGGAATCGGAGAGGCGGAGAGGCGGAGAGGCGAGAAATATGTCCGGTCATGTGATACCGGCAAGATACGGGAGATTATCTCCGGTCCATCGATTCCCGATTGCTTTATCTCCGGTCCCAAGATGGAAATGGCCCGATCTAGCCGAGAGACGAGTCTCTTGAAAAAGGTATAGAAGTCGCAATTACCTACCAGAGAAACAAAGAAATGAATTAGACACTCGAACATCACATCTTTGCATATTCGGATAGCCAAAATGGTTCTCAGAGTTCAAGAGTCGGGCCTGGACAACAACCAGGTCCACCAGGTCAGCCTGACCGACCTCAAGGCCCAGGTCGTGGTCAGCGAGCTGGATACTCCCTCCTCCAAACCTCCTGTCGACGACAACTACATGTACGACTTCAAGTACAACCACCCTCTGCCCACCTCAGACGTTCTGGGAATTGAGATCCCTTCCGACTGCGACGCTCAGAAGGAGGCGGGGACGATTGTCGCCCGCCTTTCCGAGAGCATGGGAGCTGGCGATGCGCAAGCATTCACCGATCTCTTCCTCCCATATGGTAGGTCTTACTCTGTGCTCACATACGACATGTATGCATGCATGCAACCAACTGACATGACATTCCCTCAATGCAGGTGTCTGGCGCGACAAGCTGTCCTTCACCTGGGACTACCGCACATTCAACTTCCACCCCGCCATCCTGAAGGCTGCCCAGGACCTTTTCCCCACCACGAAAGCCACCAACTTCAAGTTCCTCAGTCCCGCTCCCGCGGTTTCCCGCCCGTACCCCGATTTTGCTCAGCTACAGTTCGTTGTGTCATTTGAGACTGAAGTTGTGAATGCTTCAGCGGTGATCAATGCCGTTCTCACGAAGGAGGGGTGGAAGATCTACACCATGCACACTGTGGCCGAGAAATTGAAGCAGTTCCCGGAAGTGCCCCCGGCCGACGGGCATATGACCGGCCCCATCAGCTGGGAGAAGCAGCGGGCCGCAGAAGTAGAGGCTGCCAATCCGGAGGTTCTGATTATTGGTGGTGGACAGAAGTGAGCAATTCCCTTCTCCATGCCTACATTGCAAGTGCTGACGCCCTTACCCCACAACAGTGGTCTCGCGCTGGCCGCCCGATGCAAGGCACTGGGCATGGACAGCCTGATCATTGAGCGCGGCGACGAAATCGGAGACGTCTGGAAGAAGCGCTACGAGTACCTCTCGCTGCACTTCCCTCACTGGGCTGACGACCTGCCCTACTTCCCCTACCCCAAGCTCTGGCCCACGTACACTCCCGCCCAGAAGCAAGGCATGTACATGCAGTGGTACGCCGAGGCGCTGGAGCTGAACGTCTGGACCAAGTCGGTGGTGGTCAAGGCCGAGCAAGACGATGAGAACCGGTGGACGGTCACAATCAACAAGGGAGGCGAGGAGACTCGCGAACTGCACCCCAAGCAGGTCATCATGGCCACCTCACTGTGCGGCGTGCCCATGACCCCCCAGGTCCCCGGTATGGCTGACTTCAAGGGCATCGTCCGCCACTCGACCGCGCATGACAGCGCACGCGATTTTGTCGGGAAGAAGGTCTGTGTGGTAGGCACCTCCTCCTCCGGATTCGACACAGCCTTCGACTGCTCGCGCCGTGGCATCGATGTCACCCTCCTGCAGCGGTCCCCCACCTACATCATGTCCCTCACCCACTCCGTGCCCCGCGCGATCGGCAACTACGGCCCCGATGCCGAGGGCAACCGCCCCAACCAGGAGGAACAGGACCGCTTCTTCTTCGCGACCCCCACGGGCCCCGGAGAGGAGATGGCCCGCCGCAACGCCAAGGTGCTGGAGGACCTCGACTGTCCGCTGCTGGATGCGCTGCACGCGCGGGGGTTGCGCACCTGGCGCGGTCAGCGCGGCACCGGCGGCTCCACGCTGGGCCAGACGCGCAACGGAGGCTTCTACTTCGACGCGGGTGCGTGCGAGCACATCATCAACGGCAAGATCAAGGTGGAGCCGGGCTACATTGAGCGCTTCACGGAGGACAAGGTAATCCTCAACGACGGCCGCGAGCGCGAATTCGACCTGGTCGTCTTCGCCACCGGCTTTTCCAACACCATCGACTCCGTGCGGGCCACGCTGGGCGACAAGATCGCCAGCCAGTGCGGGCCCATCTGGGGCATCGACGAGGAGGGCGAGTTCAAGACCGCGTACCGGGAGACCGGGGTGCCCAACCTCTGGCTCATGGTCGGCTACCTACCCTACACCCGCTTCCATTCGAAGCTCATGGCGATGCGCATTAAGGCGCTGATGGAGGGGGTCTCCCCCGCGCCCTACAAGGCTTAGACTTAGACCAGTGTGCTTTCTTGGGTTTTGTGTACATAAGTATGGATTATTCTCATGATTACGAACTTTCCTGCCATGTTTTGTTGGTCAATGTCAGATTTCTTGATTCTATTTCTCCCAGTGCAATACTGTAGGGTAGAAGTCTTTGAGAAGCAACTGTGTCCAAAGCTAGCCTAGACATACCTCACGTCGTAGACCAAGTTCCATTCGAAACACTCAAAATTGCTTCAGAATTTACTGTGTAGTTCAATCTCACTGCGGGTAAGTCTGAAATAGCGCAGGTGATGTAGTGTCCGTGATACAGCAACGAGCTGCCGCACAGGGTTCCTAAAAAGACCTTTGATTGAGCTACCCTGAAAGGAGCTCATGATCTCAAGGGCGGAAGGTATTACCATCAGAATTCGGACTTACCAGTCTTGATATCATGTGCATATACCTAATCGTTATCAATAACACACCCGGTCGGGGCAAAGTTTCAACCTGTGCCGAGTTTTCTCCGAATTCCCCCGAGCCACACATCCCCATGAGACCTATATTCTCACCAAATGGAATTTATGCGTCCAGAGAATGTGAAACCCTCCAGTTTATATATATATACACGGTGGTGGTGGAAAGCAACTCACGTAGATAGAGAGGTAGAGAGGTACGGCGCTTCGCAAAGTGCGAACAGGCAAACTACGGACTCAGGCCCTTTATCATCTGAAACATATTGTGTGAATGTGCAACAAGAATATCACATTTAGTTCTATACAGCCTAACCCCAAAGACTCGCCTTCTAATTCATAAATCTTTACGGCATGATCTCACCAACGGCATCACTGCGCCTTGACCGGACCGTACCAGTCCGCAAAGCCCAGGTCGAACCCCCACAGCGGTGTGTTCAGCCGCTGCGCCTTGCCCTTGGCCGCCAGCCCATCGAGCACGGCCAAATCCTCTTCAGAGAGCGCAATGACCTCGCGGTTGCTGGCGATACGCTTCTCATTCACCGACTTGGGCAGCACCACCACGCCCTTGTTGACGTGGTAGCTGATGAGGATCGTGGCGGCCGAGACGCCGTTCTTGTCCGCGATCTGCTGGATTTCGGGGTCGTTCATGATGGGGGCACCTGACCACACATGTTAGCGACTTTTGATTGACTATGCGCTCTGGCGGGGTGAAACTCACCAGTGGAGCCCAGAGGCGAGTACGCCTCCAGAAGAATGCCAAGCTTCTCGCAGTACTCGCGGAGTTCATGCTGCGGCAGGAACGGGTGCAGCTCGACTTGGTTGACAGCCGGCACGACCGTCCACTTCTTGCGCAGCTCCTCGAGGTAGGGGATGGACCAGTTGGCCACACCGATGGCCTTGACCTTGCCAGATCGGTACACCTCCTCCATCTGGCGCCAGGTCTCGGTCTGGTCCCATGACCGGTCTACCGAGCGGGTACCGTCTGGGTTCACTGGAAGAAGCTCGCTGGTTTCGTTCTGTACGCGGATGGGGGTTAGCCCATGGAGAGGCTAGGGACAGGGACCAGGAGGACTCACGGGAACAAGCCGAACAGGCCAGTGCACCAGCTGATAGCAACGTGGGTCAGTCCTGATACTATACAAGGTATCACGCGAGTGTCACGTGTTGGACAACCTACGTAGAGATCGAGGTAGTCGGTGCCCAGCGCGTCCAAAGTCTTCTGCAGACCCTCCTTGACGTTGGGGTGGTGGGTGTTCCAGAGCTTGCTGGTGATGAAGATCTCCTCACGGGGTACACCGCTGTCTCTGATACCCTGACCGACTTCATTCTCGTTGCCTACGACAGAGGCATTAGACTAATTCATGGAAGGGGTGGAATGGCCCATCGATGTATTTGAGCTCACCGTAAATCCTGGAGCATGTTAGCGGGGGCAAACTTGACAACGGGAGACAACAAGACTCACAATGCTGCGTCAATGTGACGGTATCCATTCTGGAGGGCAAAGGCTACTGCCTTTGCCACCTCTCCGGGCTCGGATTTCCAGGTTCCTATACATCAAACCCCCCGCGGTGAGCAAGTAGTGTACCGTACCACGACAGTCCACAAACATAAGCACGTACCGAGACCGACGGCGGGAATCAGGGCGCCCGTGTTGAGCTTGAAGTGAGTAGAGGGAGCCATGATGATATTGCTATTTTGGTCTGTGAGAAAATACAACAAAGTACATGCAAAGTAGCGCTGCAAGGACCGCCTCTAAAAAGGCACTGCGCTGTGAATGCATTCGGAGATAATCAGCGTGGGGTCGGAGATTGGCGTAACCGCCATCGGGTTTATTTCGACCTCGGTAAGTGCTTATGTCCGTCCGTGAGATAAGCCCCGATATGACGTCGGATCAGTGAGATGTAGTACAGAGTAAGTACTAGTAGTAACCTTACGTGACAGAAAAATATACTATACACCACAGTCCATGCACCAGGAAACAGCTATTCTTACAAGGAAAGACTCAGGTCCAATCGTGATGGGATCTCAACTGAATTTCCCCGTTCGACCATTGATAAATATTGTATATTGCCCCGTGCTTGCAGAAATGACTGCGTTGTTGCACTACGAAGTGTCAGAATAGATTACTCTGGGAAAGGTCCTGTAACGGCATATTTGATCATAAAAGTGACATTCAATCTACCTCCAATTCCAAAGTTCTCGTTCAAGCTAGTGATGTCCAGCCAGGGTCTCGTCCCGTGACTTCTACAGCCACACAGCATGTTTGATGCCACTCTCCAATCCCTCATCCAAACTCGCCACGAGGGTCCACACATCGCCTCGATCCCCGCCAATCTCATAGACCTCCACACCACCCCCCTCCTGGCCAACCGCCACGACGTACCGGCCATCGTCGCTGACCCGCATCCCACGGATGACATCGAGCTTGGTGCGCACGTGCTTGATCGCCTTGACATCCCTGCCGTCGTTAGAGAGCAAGATAATGGCAATCGCATCGCCGGGCGGGAGCTGCTGCGGCACGCTCTGGAGATGCGGTTCGCGGCGCGCGATGTGCCGTTCCCACCGATTGCTGACATAGAGAACATTGGGAATCGAAGGATGCAGACAGATCTCGGAAGAGTCCATCATGAACTGATGGTCGGGGGGGATCTCCGGGGGGATGATGTTGGGAGCGAAGCCAGCGATGGGCGGGATGGCTTCGGCGGGGCCATCGGAGAGGTCGAAGGCGAGGACGGTGTGTGAGAGTTCTCCGATGACGTACATGATTCTCTCTGGCAAGCTTCCGTCAGCCAACCTAGCTCGGTGCTATGAAGCAAATGAAGGCTACAAACCATCCGGACTCAACACGGCATGCCGAGCCCCTGTTCCGGGGGGACACTGCAGCCAGCCGCAGATGTCCAGCTTCTGCGTCCCCTCGCGCCGGAGGAGCCACACTCGGTCGGATCCCAGGTCCGGGGCGTAGAGCAAGCCACGTTGATCTTCAAGGATCTGATGGACATGGCATTGTCGCTGTCGGCCTTGATTCGGGCCGTGTCCCGCGGCCCGGTAGGGGAATTCCGGGATGATCTCGGTTCGGGGGACGTTGTCAAGCAGTAGCGTGCCGGAACTGGTGACTGAAATGGGGTAAAGAGCAATGGAACCTCCCAGGTACTGTGTATTGGATATATATTAGTATCCGTCAGATGTGAAGGTGGGAGGAGCTGGATAGACCAACCGTGGCAAGCGCCAGCGCAGATTTGTCGCGCAGTGTGAGGACTATACCCGAGTACGGTTAACATCATTCATGTTGCCTAAAAGGAACAATGTAATGTTTGAGAAGACTCACAGTGACCCGGTGCTCCTAGGGTTGGCTGCTGGCTGCTGATTTTGCAAGCCTTGTGTGCATGATCTACTTCGAAGCTGTAGAGAAGACCGGCGTCATCGCCCTCGGATAGCCCAACTAGCTGGTCGACGCTACCCTGCGAAACCACGGGTTCGGTCCATGAAGCATTGTAAGGGGCGGCGTAGTTCGCGAGGATGCTCAGCTTCTTCTTGTCGAGATCGAGTGCGAGCGTGGTGAAGTCGGCTCGGTCGCCTGATAACAAAAGTTTGTAATGCATAGTGTTTCTAACAGGAGTGAGAGAAGCGAGACAGATTCAACTGCTCTTCTAAGCTAATCTGATAGCGACCTTGATACCAGATTCATTCTGTCCCCATTAAATTTCCTGCTTGAGTGAATGGGGGGGAGGGCGATGCGTGCCCTCTTCTCCGGTGGTCACGTGCATCGGGCGATGGGACTGTGACTGCCGTCAGTGCCATCAGATTATCTCCGATATCAGATTTGCTCCGATCCGATGTCATTCCGGCACAGCATACAAGCCTGCCCATGGTTTGGATCTACTATGCTATACTCCGGAGAAGCAGATGTATATCTTCTCACAGGCAAGCCCACAAGGTCCACCCTGAATGACATGCGGAGACAGACCCCACAAATGCTACAGGAGGCACAAGAGACGAACGTCATTCCCTCGTGTGTCCAAGGTCATTTTTCGCGTCTACGCCAGGCTTCAACTGATGTGTGCATATGGTGAATACGAAGGTCATATTAGGCCCGTATCTTGCCTATCCTGATAGGGAAGGATAGACGAAGCGACGGAACTCTAACTGCTTTGTGATCCACAGCGGTGAGGCAAGGGAAACAGCATACTGATGCTTCCGGGCCATCATTCACACGGATGGTCGAAGAAGCTGTAAACATGCGGTGTACCACTACATGATAAGTCCTTTTGTCAGGTTCTATCTTTGAATATCCACAAAGCCCCTCGTAGGGGGCTACGTGATGCAGATGACGTGGTTGCAGCTTTCATCGTTAGTGATACGTGCACCCATACCCATCCATTTTCCCTGTAGAATATAGATCCATACTCCGGTCACCCGGCAGCTAGTCGGAGCAGGAATCTTCCAGTCGGACCAAGATTCTTCCAGTATGCGCAGTATGCACCACCAAACTGGACGGGCGACGGGGCTAACCCCCACGCCCAGTAGCCCGAGGTCAGCGCCCAAGTGAGATGTCCGACGGGCCGTGCCAATATCGTCATTGAACCCGACCATAGACCTGCATATCTGATTGGCGTAGCAGCTCCCCAGCGATAACCCGTCTGGGGAGTCTCGGGCAGGCCCGGGGTAACCCCAGCAAGATACGAAGTGGTTCCCCCCACCCCCACGGGGTTACTTAAAGTAACCACGTTCCTGCCCTCTTCAACCTCCGAAATTAAATCAGGCCACTATCTTGAGAGGCATGAATAATCATTCGAAGGACTCAATGCAGCTACGAGCCAAGGGAGACGACTCCACAACGGTGGAGCATGATGAGCAGGGTACGATCCTTGACGTTGACGCCCTCAACGTGGAGGAACCCTCCTACGGCCCGGACGGCATCCGAGGGCTCTTCAGCTCGGGTTATGTCCTCGGAGCCGCCTTCCTTGCCTCGCTGGGCGGCTTCAGTTTTGGATATGACCAGGGTGTCATCTCCGTGATCAACGTCATGCCGCAATTCCACGCGGCCATCCCGGGATCGGCCAGTGAATTCGGCAAGGGCTTCATGACCGGCATGCTGCTCCTCGGCGCCTTTGTGGGCTGTATCTTCATGCCGTACCTGGCGGATAAGATCTCCCGTAAGTGGGCGCTAACGGTGGTCGTGGTGATTTTCGACATCGGGGCGATTATCCAGACATCAGCCCAGAGCTATGGGATGTTAGTCGCAGGGAGAGCGATCGGTGGGATTGGAGTCGGCACGCTGGCTATGGTACGTACATTATGAGTATCATTGGAGCCCCTATACCGGTTTCACCAGATTGCTAACGATTGGATATCTTCAAGGGCGCACCGCTGTATATCTCAGAGATCTCGCCGCCTAACTTACGTGGAACCCTACTGGTTCTGGAATCCATCTGCCTCGTGTCCGGCTCAGTCATTGCGTATTGGGTCACATTCGGGATGAGACTGGTGGACAGCGAAGCGTCGTTCCGTCTGCCCTTTGGCCTGCAGATGGTCAGCGCCACACTTCTTGGAGTTGGCATCCATTTCTTCCCCTACTCCCCGCGGTGGCTGGCTCTTGTCGATCGTCCGGAGGACTGCCTCAAGAGTCTAAGCAAGCTACGCGGTCTGCCGACAAGCGACTCAAAAGTCCAGGCGGAGTTCCGAGCTGTGATGACGGAGATACGGATCCAAAAGCTCACCGAAGAACGCTTGGGTCCCGGGGTAACAGGCTTCAAGCGAGAAGCTTCCCTCTGGATGAGTCTCTTCAACCGTCGCACGTGGAAACGCACCGCCGTGGGCGTGGGCGCGGGCTTCTTCCAACAATTCTCTGGAGTCAATGCGTTTATCTACTATTCTCCGACGCTTTTCACGTCAATCGGCCAGACGGGTGAGATGTCGTTGATATTAGCAGGGGTCTTCAATTGCCTGCAGCTCCTCACCGTGCTGGTCTGCTTCGTGACCATCGACAAGATCGGTCGGCGTCCCCTGGCGATCCTCGGGGGCCTTGGAATGGGCATCTGCTACATCAGCATCGCGGCCCTGACGGCGGTCTACGGGCCGGACTGGTCCAACAAGGCGGTCGGGTGGGCGTGCGTGGCGATGGCCTTCCTGTTCATCCTCATCTACGGAAACACCTACTCGCCTCTCGGCTGGGCCCTGCCATCCGAGGTTTTCCCGACGGCCCTGCGGTCCAAGGGCGTTGCGCTGTCGACCTGTGTGAATTGGCTGTCTAACTTCGTGGTGGGGATTGTGACTCCGTCGATGATCGCGAATATTCCCTACGGGACCTATATCTTCTTTGCGGCATTTTGTATACTTGCGGGAGGATGGGCGTTTTTGCTCGTACCCGAGACGAGTGGGAAGACGCTGGAGCAGATCGACGAGATGTTTGGGGACGGGGGTAGTCGAGAGGAGAATGAAATCAAGCGAGAGGCTGCTTCTGAAGTTGACATTGGGGGAAACAGGCCTGAAGTGTAAATAAGTAGAAGTCCGCATTAGACAACTTATATACCAGCCTCTGTCCAGCTGTTCCACAACAGTGACAAGAAAAGAGGGGAGATAGAAGCGATATCACATCGGGCCCACTGAAGCATCTGCCTCGTAACAGCCTACTGCACCTTGGCTTCTGGAACTCTAACCCTACTACATTTCAATGAAATTTTCTGCCGGAATTTCAAAGGGTTCCATTATTCATACGCCTAATAATAGTAAATCTGGTCTGAGATATGAATTGTCATTGGCATGGTACATCCTGTATTCAAAGATTCGAATCTGCCAGTTACGCTTGACTAACAGCCTCAACTACGCTCATCCCGGCCACCACATTGGCCATTTTCATTTCATCCTTTGCGGCCATTTCCGGTATCATCTGCAGCACTGCAGCCACCCTGTCCTGGGGGATGCAGACCGCTCCATTCTCTTCCGGATCTAGTATAATGAAGTCTCCCTATAAAGTGGTCCTGTTAGTTGATTAAACATGACCAAGTAAACAGAGTGAGATTGGACATCGAGAATGCAGATCTTACCGGCTTCACCTCTGTTGCTCCCACTCGGATTGGAACATTGATTGCATGCGCCCTGCACTCGCCACTGGTGGCCACAATACTGGTCGACTTACACCAGACTGGCATCGCGACCAACTCGCGCAATTGTTTGACGTCGCGGACTCGACCATCCACAACGACCCCGACAGCCCCGAGCTTGCTGATGCGCATGGCCATCAGCCCACCCATTGTGGCCGTCCGGGCTCCAATCGGCTGGCTGAGCACGGCAATCGTGCCGGGCTTAATGAGGTCGGCATACACCGAGTCGTCGGGGATGTTTCTGGGCGGAGTGTTGGCAGCTCTTTCGCCTTCATCTTTGCGAACGAACAAGACCGTGGTGGCTGGTGCGATACACTTTCGGTTGCTTTGAAGGGGTGCTGATTAGATTGAGGATAATAGTGAGAATGTGTATATCTTGCTTTTGCTTGTCTGCTTCTTTCATCCGTATCTGTCACCCTGCAATGCAAGGGGTAAGGTGGACTGGGTTGGGGTTCTAACTGATATCTGGCAGAAATCCGGCGCCTGGGACCCCGAGCTTCAACAAAGCGTCTGCTATCTGGATGCATCTGTTAAGCGATACAGATCTCAAAGAACACCAAGACCAGTAAATACTAGCCGACGGTTGGCATCAGTACCTCACAAGCGGAAAATTTGAGCAACTGTTCCGCGTCCACCATTGTAGCACCACTGAAATGAGAAAAGATATAGTCTGGTTGTGAGGGGGCTTTATTGGCGGAGATAGATCAATGAGAAAGGTGAAAGATTACCCCAAGGACGATTGAACATTCTGGTTTCATATTAATAGATTTTCTATTGTTGTCTTTCGGGAGGCTTTCACGGTTGAACATGCGGCTAAACTCCCCGCCTCAAATCCCGGCAGATGCAGTTTCCCCCGGAATACTGCCCCGTAACCCTCGTGCCGATCCACTGCGATCATGGTGAATTTCCCTGTTTGATATGTCCGCCTCGAAGTAAAGTCCGGAATGACGAACCTGGAAGTCTTAGCCACCACCTCTGTGTGTGGAGCCGTTCTTGCCCCGCTCCCCCTTCCCTTCTCCTCCCCCCCCCCCTGTCTTCTTCTCCATCTCCTTTTTTTGTACGTCAATTACGTGCCAGGGATTGTTGGACAAGGTTCTTTGTCGTTTATTCTCACTATCGCTCCCTGTTAGTCTAGAGTCTGCAATGGCTGTTTTGTCATAGCTGTAACTGTCGGTTAAACCTTTTCGAGCGGATGAACCCATCATTTGAATTCCCCCCAAATAGATCATTGTACTGTGAAAGAGAGACTATATAAGATTCCCAGGGACTCCGAGTAGAGGACAGATATTCAGACTCATGATATCACTAGAGCAAGGAACCAACATCTGGCAGCATGAAACTTTCAATCTCAGCAATCACACTCTCGTTCCTCTTCTTCACCACGACTGTACAAGGTGTCCTGTTGTACGTGGCCTCGTGGTCCGGAAACATCACCGTTCTGTCTCTGACCTATGAATACTTTGCGTCCACTGGATCCCCTGCCTTCGTGGAAGATGGGTATTTTGCAGGATTTGCTCCGCAGAAGAAATACCAACTGTCGATGGTGGACACCTTTGCAACCCCGGCCCAGCTGCCCGCCTGGCTGACGTTGAATAAACACAACGACATCCTTTACCTGGTCGACGGGGTGACGACGGGCAATGGCACGCTGACAGCCTACCGCACCAGCTCGCACAACGGAACGGGTCCACCCGTGCAGCTGGACAGCGTCGAGTGCCTGCTAGACGGGGCATACGCGGGGTTCTACGCCAACGGGCGAGGGCTGGCAGTGGCGCACTACACCAGCAGCGCGCTGCAGACCTACGATGTCAGCGACACGGTCACGGGCAAGCTGAAGCCGGTACAGACCTTCACCTACACGATGGACCAGCCAGGGCCCGCGCCTAGCGGACGACAGACGGCGCCCCATATCCACGAAGCCCGGACGGACCCGCTGGGTCAGTACATGCTGGCTGTGGATCTCGGCGCGGACAAGGTGCGCGTTTACGCCATTGACGACGAAACTCTGCGACTGGACGAGCGCTCCGCGCTGAACGCTACGGCAGGCTCTGGGCCCCGCCATGGAGTCTTTACCGCTGAGCCCGTGCGATTCCCGGACGGCAACGCCAGCTATGTTTATTATCTGGCGGCGGAGATTGCCGGTACGATCACCGCCTATCGCGTCCACTATCTCCCCAAAAGAGGAGGCTTGCGCTTTGACTACCTGCACACCTATTCGTCGCTGGAGCCGGGCGTCCCCAAGCCCGCCACGGGGGGGAAAGGGGTCACTGCGGAGCTGCGTCTGAGTCCCGACGGCGATTTCCTGATCGTGAGCAACCGTCGTGACGCCCGTTTCAACGGCACCGCCACCCAGTACCCCCCCAATGGCACCTCTGACTCGATCTCAACTTTCCGGGTCCGATCCGATCTGGCCGGTCGACTAGACTTTGTGCAGGCGGTGCCCGCGGGGGGCTCGTTAGCACGAACCTACGACCTCAATCGCGCGGGGAACCTGGCGGCTGTTGGCGTTCAAGATGGCTTCCGGGTCGCCATCCTGGAAAGAGATCTGGGAAGTGGATTATTCAAGGAACAGGTGGCGGAGATTGATGTTCCGGGACAGATCTGGGGGGTGGTATGGAATGAGTAGGCGTGGGAGTGAGATGAAATGGATGAAATGAATGAAATGAGCGATTACAGTATCGCATGCACTACAGCGGCGTATCATAGGCAAATAATATACCGTATGTACAGTGCTGTACAGTACATGGCTAAGAATGAAGTATGTAAGGAGTAAGTATGACTGGATAGTGTCAGATTAGGGCATGTCTTGGAGCTAGTCCTTGAACGGCAACTCTATTCCCGCTTTGTCATCCACTGAGTGGGGGCTGTGGGGAACAGAGATCAATCATGGGTCAAGCCTTTGCTGTTGGTTCAGCTTTACATGGCTAGAAAAAAAAAAAAGAAAAAACAAAAAAGAAAGAAAGAAAACGCAAAAATTGAAAAGGAGAAAAGAAGAAGGCAACATGGAATCAATCCCTGACCGGGCACCCCCGCACTTGAGGAAATTCAGCCTTTAAACTATTCACTGCCCCCATTGCCTACTACGCAAGGGGATTTCTCTCTCTCTCGGGTCAATCTTCGCCAAAGAAGTCTTCTGACCCCTCTCAGCAATCATGATATTGAGTCCGTGGACTGCAATCAAGACAGGAAAGCGGAAACGGCCAGGACGTGCCGCTCAAGCCTGCGATGCGTGCTTCGCAAGAAAGGTACGGACCGTACAGTACAGTACAGCGGTCACGCGGTTCTGCCTCCAGGTTCGGCTTGACCTAACCCAAGTAGATCCAATGCGACCTCCAGAAACCCAGATGCAACTGGTGCGATCATCGCAAGCAACCCTGCACATTTCGCAGAGTGTCCAGTAAACGAAGGGAACAAGAGAACGACCGCGGCTCCGCCCCTTTGCGGGCTTCCGTGCCGCGCAGATTAGCTTCCTCCTCGACCGCCCCTCCACCCGTTCAGATTCAGGCCCAGGCTCTAAATGTTGAAGTCTTTCCCCTTGGACTTCATCAGCAATTGACGGAGCGGTGCCTCGGAAACATCTGCGCTTTCAACGGAAAGCCTGCCTTGTCTCAAAGCAGTCGCGATTGGCTCAAATCCTGTACGGGGCGAAATTCTTGTCTCGACCGTCTGCTGCTGGGTGTCCAGGGAAGGCAACCGTGTCTGGTGTCAAAGAAGAAAGACCCGCTGTTCTCATGTAGTAGTCAGGCTACATTCGGTAGCACGACTACTGCTGGTAGCAGGCCCGACCTGCCCGATCTGAGGCTTCTGCGGGAAGAATTGGAACAATACCATTCTCTCGCGTATGGAATCATCTTCCCTATCTTGGATCCCAGCCTCTGGCAGAGTACTATTGATGCAGCATACTATGGAAAGGCATCACCAGGTTCCCCCGTGGCGATCGCTGCCAGGGCCTGCCTCTTAGCATTTCATGGGCTGGCGACGCTGGTTATTCCGCAACATCCAACCCCTTCCTCCCCCGAGACCTCCCCTTGGTCGACGACTGACTATTTCCACGAGGCCTACAGTCTACTCCCTGAGGTACTCAATGAAATGGTTACCCTGGACGGGTTGCAAGCGATTTTGTTACTAGTAAGCTAGCCGATCTGATCTTGACGGCCGATCCTCACAGCATTCTACATTCCATGCGATGTTGGCTCTAACACCCAGGTGGCCCTGTGAAGTGTCTTTGCTCGCAGGGATTGGCAGGTGATATCTACACCGTGGACTACCTTCTATCCCTTGCGGTACGCTTTGTCTTTCACCTGAAAGGACAACTCGCGCCGGCGACGGTGTGGGAAATTCCCTCTGCCCTGCACTATCACGCACGGCACCTGTTCTGGATCACCTACGTCTGCGACAAGGGCTTCAGCTTAGTGTCGGGGCTAGTTCCACGTATGGAGGAGTCCCATTGCGATCTCGAAATGTCGCACAGCCGACCATCCGGGGGGGGACGATTCCAGGCCGAGGATGAATCGAAGATGTCTCACCTCCACGGGGATCCCATCATTGGCTCCTACCTCGAGCGCTATGTGACTTTGGCTACGGTTCAGTCGCGCATATACCGCGATCTGTACAACCCGGCAGCGCTGCGATTGTCCGATGCAGAGTTGCTTGAAAGGATCCGCACGCTGGACTGTGCGCTCGAAGACTGGCGACAGTCCCTGCCACGCCGCAACCGGCCCTCCCTGGTGGTGACTACACCGATTTCCGGGGCGACGCGATCCCGTCTGGCCGAATCGGTGGACATGCGGACCTCGGTCTTTCACCTGCAGTATCACTACTCTATAATAATGATTCACCAGGCCAGCAGCCGATGCCCCGTGTGGAATCAGAACCAAGGGGCTGATGGAAGGGGGGGGTCCAGCCTGGAGATATCCGTCGCTGCCAGTCGGGCCCTTTTGGGGAGCTTTCTCTATTCTTCCTTTGAACTTGATTCGCGAAATTTGATGTGAGTGTTCTGTAATCAAGGTGCTTGATTTTAGACGATACTGGAAGTTGCTGACATATCATCGTCCCCCCTATCCCCCTGTTGAACAGATTCACACTGTCCTATTTCGTCCAAGCAAGTGTCGTGATATTCTGCCACATTCTATCGTACTTCGCCAACGCCCTGGCTCCAAACTCTCAGAATGATAACCTCAGGCTTCTGGAAGACATCTCGGCGCTCCTGCTGCGATGTGTCCGCACCAGCGATCCAGTTTGCTATACCACCAAGATCAAATTCGCAGGAGAGTTGATTGGGGAGCTGCCGCGCTTGGTGCACTGTGCTATTGCTGAAGCTCCTAGCAGTGCCACGGCGCATGGAAGTAGCGTAACTTAGTCTTTACCTGAAGGAAGGATTCGCAATAATAAACTAGAAATATCTTTAAGACAAGGCCCTCGCGCACTGGCGTAGCACCTGCCTTGCCTTCTTCTACACATATAAACACACCTACCAGAACCACAACAGACAGACAATGCAGGGAAACAAAGGAAAAATCTCAAAAGCGTCCCAAGATCTTTCTTTAAACCCAAGAAAGAGATAAAAGGACAACGAGAAAGACAAACTGAAAACCCTCAATCGTCAAAGTAATGAGTGACCAACGGGTCGTAGGTTGCGTTCCCATACGCGTTGCCTCCAAATGTCAGATAGCCCTCCACGAGAGCGGGTTCTACCTTTCGTGTGATTTCCGATGCATTGCCCATGACCCACACGGTCTGCATTCCCATAATCATGTGGAAGATATTGTGGCAATGAATCATCCATACCCTGGTGATGTAAGTCTTTGGAATCAAGTGTCGGAAAAGGCGGTATCCTGCCGACTTCACCCTCCGGAGTGGCGTAAGTCGAGAGGTAATAGGGCAGGGTGACTTACCCGGTATTGTCCACCTTCAAGCGCCAGGCTCGCCAGCCCTGACTGGTGAAGTTCCCCGCTGAACTGCCATCGCCGTTGGTATACTTGTAGAGCAGACTTGTGTCGCGCAGCACGGGGTTGTAGCCACGAAGCTTGGCCTCGTTGGCCGTCGCGTTATAAGCCCCGGGACCGGATCCGAGATCCCAGACGTGGCCACCGTGAATATGAAAAGGATGGGCATCAAATCCCCCCGCCAGTCCGTTGGCCTGGTTGACAAAGATGATATCGATCAATTCCCCTGCCTTGGCCGCGTAGACATTCTGCGCCGGATCCCTGCCCCCGTTGCGCGGCTGGACCGCGACCTCGTAGTCCGGGATCGCATCCTCCCCGTGAGCATAGATGTCGACCAGGTAAGGCACCGTTGCATTAGCCTCGTCCCAGGTTCGGTTGGACATCGTCCAGTGCTTGTTCTCAAGATTAGTGGGGCTCACGATCTGGGCCGCGGTGATGTAGACCTCGCGGGTGACCTGGTCTGAAGGCGGGAAGCCGTTTGCTTCCAACGGCTCGAAGGTGTACTCCATCCAGTTCTGCAGTGCATAGGGGATGTGAATGGGCTTTTGTGCTGGGGGACCGGAGTCAACTGTGGTGTAGATGGTGCTGTTGTCCCTGTGCCCCTGAGACCTCTCGGTCTGGTGTTGATTGCTCTTGTTGCTGCTGGTGTCCGAATTATACGACAGAATAGCGTAAAAGGTCGAGTTGATAGCCCTGTAACGAGTCTCGAACTGGATCCAGAAATTGGTAGCGGTAGCATTTTTCAGCCTCTGTTGTTGACGCAGTGACTCTAATTCCGCCACCGATTTTGTCTTCAGCAAGAAATCATACCGCTGGCCGCCGGCTATCTCAATCCAGGCGGTACTTGCCGGCTGAGTGTAGGCCCCATCGATAGATATCATTTGCAACTCGTTATGATCCTCTACAGCAAAGGCCAAAGGACTGAGGGCAACACCGCCGATGGCCCGAAACCGGTACGTCCGGTCTGGCTCGACCTCGATCACCGCCGCGCTGCATGGCTCTTCAACCGTCGGGTCCCAGGCGCCGTAGGGCGAGGATGCCTCGGCCTCACTGCCATTCAGCCCACGGTAACCTTGCCCATTGACCAAAATTGCTTCTGCCTCACCCGGCCTGGCAGATCAAGAACAGATATTGAGAGTCAGATTTGATGGAATAAGGATGAATGCGGGAGCTATGAGCTGCAGTCTCGCATCCCCCCAACTGGATAGACTTACCACTTGAGATCAGGATCAGTGAGCCACTCTGTGGCAGTTTCGTCGGTCACATTGAATAATTCAGACAGGAAGAGTATCCGTTCTTCATCATACTCGTAGGGTGGCCGGCCATCCGCCTCAGCCACGATCAAGGGGCCGGTTACAGTGGAGGCCTGGAAGCCCACATGCGAATGGTAGAAGTAGGAGCCGGCCTCGCCGATGGATGGCCGGAGCTCATAATCGAAAAAGTGCTGAGCCTACAGACTGATATGAGAAAAGAGAAAAAAAAAAGCTAGTCTGTTCGGATCTCGTGATGGACGTGGATTTAGAAGAGGGGGCCTCACCTTTATTGGCCATTGGCTGGCTGAGGGAGTACCATCTGCCCACGGTGCAGCAGAGGCAGTTAAACCATGCCAGTGCTATATGGTTTGCGAGACAATGCGTCAAGTATGGTCAGTATTCGAGATAACCCACACGTCTCCTCGTCTTGGTGAGAATCTAGGGACCTACAATTGTGAGGTTGTTCGATAGCATGTCGTTATACACGCGCACCCACGTTGTTTGATTCTCTCTCAAATAGAGGGTTGGACCAGGGATACTGCCTGCCAGGAAAGTATGTGTATCTCAGTTTAGTACTCTTTTCTTCTCTAGATCCTTGGCTCCAAGTGCAATATTCTTTTGGGAGATGGATTCGAAGGTGGGATCTTACCGTTGACGAGGGCAGAATACCGGGTCCGGCAAGCAATGGGGACGGTGTCCTCAGTCACCCGAAGGATGTAGTCGGGGCTGAAGGACTCATCGTGTCGGGTCAGGTGGGCGGCCAGAGTTCCAGAGACACATGTGAGCAAAGTCCACAAAAGTCCACGAACATGCATCTTGTCAAACGTAATCCAGAATAAAAGCAACAATGCCAGAACGAAGCACCTCAACAATACCCCATGGTTGCCAGACAATCACATTTATACACCACTCGCTGATTCACGCCTGTTCCTGTATAATGCGGTGAAGTGATCGGCAGAGAATTGATCAGTGGAGAGGGCTTGGATTCGTTCGTGACTTCTCCGCAGGGGCCCCATGGGGCTGGGGTAGTGGATCCCGGTAGTCGAAGACTTCAAGGAGGCTTTTTCCATCCTTACTGACGAGAGCAAGACGTGTGTGTATGTGTGTTTGCCGACTTGGTAATACCGCTCCAGGTACCCAAAAGAGGATCTATCCTGACCAAGGGGGAGAGGTCACTGAAGCGATACTACGCATCAACAACAAGCATCTGCCCGCTACGTCCAATCACGAATAGTCCCATAGGGTATGCCCGATGGTTGTTCAATTTGGTCAAACGGGAAATGTCTTGCTAGGTTGATAATCACATAGGATGGTAGATAGTGTTAGACTAGAGCTCGGAGAAATAGCCAAGGCAGTCTCTGAATAGCGTGCTGCAATGTCTCAGTTTATCGGAAAGACTAGCTCCGAGTAGCTCCTACCGGGTGAGCTTCTTCAAGCCAAGTCGCCGAGTCGATTCAGAGTGGTTAAATTGGACGGAAACTGCTCCGACATCAACAGTTTAACAGATTGACCTTATGATTTGCCATCGCTTGACTTGTCGGATGTTTGCGCGAATCCACGTGAGACAAGTAAGCCCGCGTGAACCATACATTCAGTCCTCTCATACAAGGAAGCAAGCTCTGCCAGACTGAACCAGATGAAGGGCAGGCAACTCTCTTTGCCGAATCACAGACCAAGGATTTTGAGAGGCTGAGAGGGAGGACCTCGTGCAGCGAATAGATCTTATCCCTGATTTCCCGCCATTGAGGCAGTTGGGGTGTTGGCAATTTGTCACGATTATTATCCTAAATCATTGACGCTCGCACTAGTGAGTGTCGAATACCATACCCTAGTGGCGTACACCCAATGCCTACCCCAGGAACCCGTACAAAAGGAGATCGAAACGGAAATATTACCGGGTTTGCTTAGCCCCCAGTCTCTGTCTACCGAGTACGGCGTTGGCATGCATTGATATTGAAGGCTAGCCAGCCCCACCTGTCAGTCCGGCTCTACTCAGCACAATTCAAACCCCGAAATTGCTGGTTCCTGGTCACGGGGTAATTAATGAGACCCGCGCCTTTTCTGAATTCTCGACGCCCATTCAAACTCCGGTGTACAATACCTTACTGCCATACCGTCCGTCCTTTGTGCCGTTCCCCGCAACATGTCTCGTGGTGTGGAAGAGCTAATGCAGCGATAGTGTCCCTAAGGCCAAACTTGAATATGGAGCTATTGGTTACCCTAATGTGCTATTACAGTCATTCCTCCGGTGCAAGGGACCAGGTAATCATTCCAATGCCGAATTCTTCCCTGTCGAAGACCCACTCGACCTCCCTCGCAGAAGAGATTAAACGCCCAAGTTCTATCAAACTGAGCCTGCAGTCTCGTATACGTGTAGAAACGGCTAGCAGCTAGGAATCCCTAGGCCCACTGTCATAAGAGATGAGGGCTTGACTTCTGACACTGCGCTGCACAGGATGGGATCACATGGCCCTTCGGGGTGACTAGCTCGGACGAGGCACCAAAAGACTTTTCTCGACGACCTCAAAAGTCCAATGTGGCCTATGAGAGAGAGGGGCAATTGTGGCTCGCTGTCTCCTCTAACGATATACTAATATCGAGCAATTGATGAAGGATTTAGCCCAGGCTCGCCCAGAGCACCTTCTGGACGTCCCAGAAAATGGTTATAAAGCACAAGAACGGTCCCAGAAGTCTCATCAAAGAGAACCAGGCTCAACCGGTTACGCACAGAGGCCGTCTGTTCTTCACGGTTTCCTCTCGACGTGCTTGTTTTTGTTTCGCTGTCCTCAACCTTCACTCATCTTGCCATTCCAGGCTCGCTTAACCATGTCTGCGAAAGCCTCAGTTTCCATGCTGTTCAGCATCCTCTCGCTGTGCTTGCTGGGCACTGCAGCACCTGCCTCCCGCTCGATGTGCACCGAGGACAACATGATGGTGCGGAAAGAATGGTTCGAAGCTACTCCATGCCTACTGCTTTTTTTCCTCTTGCCCCAGCAGGATTATTGACAACCGATGTATAGGTCGAATCTGACTCTGGCGGAGCGGGTGGCTTATACGGATGCGGTAACCTGCCTGCAGAATCTGCCATCGAAGCTGGACAGCACGGAGTATCCGGGGGCCAAGAACCGGTACGCCGATTTTATCGCCACTCACATCAATTACACCTTCGTGATGCACCTCGATGCCCTGTTCTTGCCATGGCATCGCGGGTACGTGTGGCTCTACGAGGCTGCGCTTCGCGAAGAGTGCGGCTACGAGGGGGCGCAACCCTACTGGAACTGGCCGGCCTACGCAGGCCCGGACGGGACGTTGGCCAATTCGACCATCTTCGATGGTAGCGAGTATTCACTGGGCAGCAATGGGCGAGCCAATGATTCGTGCGTCTACAAGGGCCCGTTTGCGAACTACACGTCTCCGTACCCTTCCTTCCCGCAATCAATCATCACAGATAACATCCAGAACAATGGCAGCGGCACCATCCCCAGTTGGTCTTTCGACTATGAGCCCTCATGCTTCCAGCGCGGCCTCAGTGACGAGGCCCTACGCGTGAACAACAACTACAGCTGTATCGACACTCTCCTGGCGCAGCCCACCATCGGCGACTTCCAGAACTATCTCTCCACGCCGGAAGGTGATTCTCACTACGGTCCTCACGGCGGTGGTCATGTCGCCATGGGTGGCAACGGAGCGGACCTGTTCACCAGTCCCACCGATCCGGTGTTCTTCTTGGTACGTTCCCTGGTCTGTGTTCGTCTCGTTCACGCCCTCTTGCTGCGAAAGATAGACAAGTCCTAACGGAGGCGTGGCCCACAGCATCATGCGCAGGTCGACCACATGTGGTGGACGTGGCAGACGATGGATCTCGACACCCGGCGGTACGCCCTGAATGGGACCATGACCCTGGAGAATGTCCCTCCCTCTCGCGAACTCACCCTCGAGGACCTGCTCACCTGGGGCCCCTTGAGCCAGGACCGGACCACTCGGTCCTTGATGGACATTCAAGCAGAGCCATTTTGTTACCGATACGAGTGATTGGGTATAGAAGGAGGGATGAAGTGTCTCCGAGGAGGTGCACCAACGCCTGCGTCCACAGAATCTAAGTTGGGGTTTTTATCACGGAAGCTTGCAACAACATCTGTACATAGTCCACCTCTGCAAGTTGCTGCCCTGTAATGCTAGCAGTAGGAGCGGTCGTATCCAGAATCAATTCTCAGGTCGCCGAGTTCGGCTTAGTGAAAACCTGTCATTCTTCTGTGCCAATTACTCGCGGTAAAATCTCTGCTGCCCCACCCCTTTTTTTTTGTCAAGAGTATTTTCCCGATATTGAGGCCCAGGTAGGCACCACCGGAGGGATTTTAGGCGTACACTCAACCCCACGAATGAATCTCCCTCTATTTTCCCGTGACCTCCCTGCATATTCAGGCCGGATAAAGACCCAAGTGTTCTCCAGGGGTCGTCCGAGGGCTGAGAGAATTTACCAATGATGGAAGAGGGGAATGGGTGCGAGGGCAAAAGTTTGGCCAATCAGGCTAAGGTATCTAGTACAGTCCCTTCCCTATCCTTTCCCCGCAAGCACTGATCCAGAACAGAATACGTAATGAGCCTTGGTTGTTGGTTGTTGGCATTGGTGGCTATGAAGATCATACTGCGTAGCCGGAAAGTCTGAAAAGGGCGATGGCCATGGGATGGTGACTAAGCGGTGATTCCCATACCTTTTTTGGACTTAGTGGGAAGTAGGTTGTCCCAATGCAGTGGCGAAGGAGCTCAAATGGATTGAAATGGTTTCTCCGATATGAAACTACGTACCGTACAATACGATAAAAGTACAATACTGTTATTCTACCGGTACTTCCCATTGATTGCAAAATGAGACCGTCGGTTAAACTGTGTGTGTTAGAGAGACTTGCCATGCAGGAGTACGGAAGTACCCTGAAGTCTTCATCTATACTACGGGGTATACATCGCCGCAATCTATAAGGGCTAGTTTGACTCCCCCCTACCTCCCGCAGATAGCCTGTTGGAATTCCCCCTCCGTCAAACTACTCCTATGTCCAGGTCAAGTCCAAGTCGTCAAGTCCTACGTTCCTACGCAAGATGACTCGTTCTCCGAAAGTCGGTATTGTGTCCATCGGAGAGATGGGTGCGGGTATTGCCAAGTTGCTGGTGGCCCATGGCTACGTGGTTCTGACCAATATCACTGGCAGAAGGTACGCATGACTACGGACAACGTAGAATACACACCTAGTACTGACTTTGCCATTCTCAGTCCGTATACATACAAACGCGCGGAGGCGGCATCGATCACACTACTGAACAGTGACGAAGATTTGGTAGTCCAAGCCGACTACATCTTATCGATTGTGCCCCCACGGGATGCGCTGGGAACCGCGCAACGAATTTTCACTGCCGCGGCCTCATACAGGGACGAGGCATCCCCTCCACTCTACTATCTCGACCTCAACGCGGTGAGTCCCGGGCGGGCACGCCACATGGCCGAGGAGTTTCGGTTCCATGCGCCCAAGACGGTGGTGTTTATCGACGGAGGCATTCTAGGGGGGCCGCCGTCCCCACTGCCCCCTACAGGGCAGAAGGGTGGGGACGGCATCCAGTGGAAGCGGCCGGCCATCCCGCTGGCTGGGCCTGAGCTCCCCGACCCTCAGCTCGCTCGCGTGCTCAACGTCACTCATCTCGGTCCCACCGTAGGCGCGGCGAGTGGGCTCAAGTGCTGCTTTGGTGCTTTGATCAAAGGGCTCATTGCTCTATCCATTCAGTCATTCACCACCGCCGAGGCCTTGGGAGTCTACGAGCCCCTCCAGGAGTTTCTCAAGCACTTCCAGCCCGCGCTCCAGGAGAGCACCACTCGCATGATCACCGAGATCCCCCCCAAGGCCGGTCGCTGGGTCGAGGAGATGTGGGAGATTGGTCGGTGCTTCGGAGAGGACGGGGGCTGGGACAACGTGACTGGGCCCCCGGGGAGCGCAGATATCTACCGCCGCGTCGCCGAGGTGTTTCGAACTCTGGCGGAGGACACGGTGCTGGGACAAGAAAGACCCGAGCATCGCGTGCGAGGCACGACTGCCATCGACGTTGCGGTCGCCATTGAGGAGACTTTGAAGCCCAAGGTGAAGGAGTGATTTGATCGGTGGAATCCGGATTCGTGTCTGTGGTGTGCTCAGTGGTTTTCGTTTTCTACGTACTGTTCTACAAGTTGTATATAGTCCAACCGAGCCCTCGCCATCTTCTTCTTGTTCTCTTCCTCGCCAATACTACTCTAGCTATGTCTAAGATCCAGATCACTGAATCTAGAGGCAAAAGGTTGACCAAAAGAAACACTATGCGTCCTCCGAAATCGTGATCGACCAGGAGCGGGACATTGGTCAGCCAACTGGCATGCCACGACCCTAGATCACAGCACATACAATGGTCAACGACAAATCGCCTGGAGATAAAATCTCTCCGATCGAACGCTGGGCTTTTTCCTTCGTGTTCCTTTTTCTTGTGAATCCAGTGACATAGTTGATTCTCCCCTCTCAAGGAAGGTCTTCCGGCCATGCGGTCGGGAATAGAGATTGTATCTGCTCGGCACAAACGCGGGCAAGTGCAGCCAGCCAGTGGCATGTGGGGTTTGGGGTTTGGGACTCTTGAAATCGGACAAATTCCAGCAAGCATGGCCGCCAACGGCTGCAAAACCCTATCAGTAGACGTAAATGAGGTTCAGAGTCTTTGGGTCGTCATCTCCGCCGGCTATTCCTGCGATCAAGGTAATTTTGACTTGGAGGGGAAGCGGCTAAACTCCCCACTGACTGTCCTTCCGTTCACGATTTATACCGTGCGTAGCGGTCTGGCCCTGCCGATACGGAACCATATATCGATATACCGCATCTTTCTGACCCATTGCAAATTCCATTTCTCGTTGGTACAGCTTTGCTCTGCTCACACGAGAAAGATGGCCCCCACCGCAACCGTTCTGATGAATGAAACCCAGGTCAATGCTGCCTCGGGCGCCCTGGGGCTGGCCAAGGATGGTCGCAAGCTCAACATCCGAGCACGACCACACTTCGAGACAGCTCTTGAGGAGAGAACGTACCGGAAGCAGCATCTCGCAGCCGCCTTTCGCGTCTTCGCCGACCAGGGATTCGACGAGGGGATTGCGGGACACATTTCTGTGCGAGACCCAATTCTGACGAACCATTTCTGTACGTAGCCCGGCTGTGGCGTCATCAGGACAGGACATGCGACACCTGGGATCTCAATTAACAGAATCACTTTTCTCCAATCCACAGGGCTCAATCCACTCTCCCAACACTTCTCTCAGATCAGGGTGTCGGATCTGGTCCTCGTCAACGAAGACGGCGAGGTGGTCGAGGGCAACGAGCCCATCAACGGAGCGGCCTTTGCCATTCACAGCGAGATCCACAAGGCCCGTCCGGAGGTGAACGCTGCTTGCCACGCTCACTCGGTCTACGGGAAGGCCTTCAGTGCCTTCGGTCGGGAGCTCGACATGATCAGCCAGGACGCCCTCCGCTTCTACAACGATCACGCGGTCTATACCGAGTTCGGTGGGGTGGTACTGGACCGAGAGGAGGGCAAGCGGATCGCCCAGGCCCTCGGCCGAGGGAAGGCGGCCATTCTCCAGAACCACGGTTTGCTAACGGTGAGATTTTTGGCCTCGCCCTTATCTCAATAATCACACTAATTCGAACACGCTTCGCAGGTGGGAGGAACCATCGATGAAGCCGCATTCTGGTTTATCAGTCTCGACAGGACCTGTCACGCCCAATTGTTGGTCGATGCAGCTGAAAGAGGCAGTGGGCACAGAAAGAAGATTATCTCCCAGGAGGAAGCGGAGTTTACTGCGAAGCAAGTCGGAAGTTCGGAGAAGGGATGGCTGGCATTCCAGCCATATTACGATGATATCGTGGCCAAGACGCATGGCTCGTTTCTTCTCTAGATAGTTTGGCAACGGACTACAGTCTGCAGTGCAATAGCAATGTTTTCTCTCATCCCTTAATCTGGTCAATTACTCAATAATGCGTCTAGTCGTCGTCTCATCGTCCAAGCGTCGATACGGACAAGCTTACTCAACGACGGTGGTAGTAAGAGCACACAGCCGAGAGAGAGGAAAGATATACTATCTACTTGAATTTACATCCGTGGTAGAGCTGATAGCGATGGGCATACATTCCTTCGGCCCGCATTCAGCTTGGTAATTCGGGTTCTGTCTTGTCTCTGCGACTGGGGATTCCGGGTGGGATCAAGACTCAGGCGGAAAGGGTACGACAGCCTCTTGATGCCAAGAAAAGGAACCTACACCACGCTGTATCTCAAAATGATGGCTAGGGAAACAAGGGCTTGGGCGAGATCGGTTAAACCTAACAGGAGCTATAGGACTGTGACTGGAAAGCGAACTCCGCCCGCGTCCCATAGGCCGAAAGCCGTATCAACATTGCTGTGAGAGGGTCGTTGGGGAAATTGAAAGTGCACACATGCACGGACTACTCACTTGGGTGATCTGTTCATGCGAAAAAATTAACCGGTCGTTTCTCATGGTAGTCATAGTCTCCAAGCAAGTCTTTATTTTCCGCAAATAAAAATGGTCGAACATCCTCCCCTTGACAACTCTGCTCTACAGCAACGACGACCCTGCCATTTTCCACAAAATCGAATTTCCAATGGCGAACCCGAAGTTTCAAAGACTGATACGCTTCCTGAGCACGTCTGGTGAGACTCACATGGGGGAGCTTCCAGAGAGCCACCTGTGGACTCAAGAGCTTGCGGGCACTGAGGTGTTGATTTACGAGGGCAAGTCACCCTGGGATGAGCATCTACGACTTACCGACCAGAGGGCGGTGGTGAAGGAGGTCCTGAGTCCATTTCCGGAGGTTCCATTTATCTATGGTGTTGGTCTGAATTACCGAAAGCATGCGGAGGAGTCCGGAGTGAGTGGCAGCGATCCAGCGGCAGCCGATTGATCGACCATGGCCAGCTGACAGATATAGGACCCAATTCCTACCTATCCGAAGACTTTTGTGAAATATCCGGGTGAGTTTGTGTCATGCTGTTCTGGGAGGACAAACTGAAGTAAAGAGGCGGGGGGGGGGGAGATCAGTTCCGCACTCGGAGAGGATTTTGATGTCTAACATATTTTTCTTATTTCGCTTAGATGCTATGGCGGGCCCCTTCGAGGATATCTATGTTCATCACTCGGCCAAAGAAGTGGATTACGAGGTATGAATCAGTGCTTTGTGCCCCCCCTCCCGGGGAGGAAAATGACAGGCCATCAGCTGACCTTTTCGTCGTGGTTCAGGGTGAATTAGTGGTTGTAATCGGCGAGGACGTGTGCAACCTTTCGGAACAGGCCGATCCGATGGTATACGTCCTGGGATACACAATCGGAAACGATGTGTCGAGTCGATGGTGGCAAAGGGCGACGGGGGGACAGTCCAACTACGCCAAATCCTTTGAGGGGTTCGCGCCGTTGGGTCCAGTCCTGGTCTCCTCCACCGTCGTCCCCAACCCTGGAGCACTGACCTTGCGAACCTGGGTGAACGGTGAGAAGAGGCAGGAATCCGGGATCGACGATCTCATTTTCGATGTTGGCGCCATCGTGCGATTCTTCAGCCAGGGCCGCACCCTTCGAAAAGGGTCTGTAATCATGACTGGCACTCCCTACGGGGTGGGCACTTTCATCAAGGGGGGCCCCAAATTCCTGAAAGATGGGGACGAGGTAAAGATTGAAATCGACCAGATCGGTCACATCTGCAATAAGTTTGTCTTCGAGCCATGAAACGGTGAGGAGTGGGGCGGGTAGCTGGTGATAGAAGCTTCTACCTGTCGTAATCCAACTGCCCGACGTGTCTTTGTTTCTTTTTTCTTGTCGACAGACGGTGCTATCGACGAAAGTAGCACCAATTAGATCCAGAAGACTGGGCAGGGTTCAAAAGGCAGTGCTTCCCTACATACTCCCATACGAAATGGTCGGCTTTGAGCACATCTGTATTAGGGCATAGTCTTCCCCGCTTAGTCACCACGTTACAGCTTTTCCATCAAGACCGTAATTTATCAATGCAACAGCCCACGAGTAGGCTCGCAGTCGTTGCGCTAGGACACACTTATACTTTCTGGGATTAGTAGTCATACCTCTTCAGACTCACCTGTACCATCCCCGGATTTGAAGGATACCCACCCCGCATCGACTGCATGGACACTGCAACTTTGCGGGTACTTACAAAAGGCAAGGTTTGGGACCAAGCTCTGCATCACCATCATCAAGCCGGCGAAACCTTCTCTCATTCCCTCAGTCTGTCTTTCCGCCCTTACTTGAACAGGTCGACTCTCTCCACCACCTCTTTTTTCCGGACGCAACAGCTGGCCGTTGTAGCCGTTCGAGTCATGGCCTCGACGGCACCAACAGAATCTGGAGTAACTCTTCGAACCGAGAGCGGACCCCGAGTTCTTAAAAGAAAGCGGAATGGGGTAGGTGCTCTGTCCCTTGGGCTCTGTTGTCACAAGAGCAGCCTAGACACTATTTGGCATGCTGACAGCGCAACAGCGTGCCTGCGATCGATGCCATCGAAATGCGTGCAGGGTAGGTAGATAATTCTTCCCGCAAAAGCTGAAGCGAGTAGTTTGTTCACAGTTAGCCCCCAAGTGCTCCCCGGGAATCGAAGGAACGGTTTGTGCGAGATGCGAGGAACAAAAGCTCGAGTGCACATACAGTCGTCCAGTGAAACGACGGGGGGTATGTGGGTTCCTGGCCTGATATAGCAGTGGTTGTGCTCAAGGCTATAGTTTTCGTCTTTTTCCCCCTCCTGCTGACCTGACACATGGACCACAGCCGCCACCAGCACGTCTCAAGAAACAACAAGCCGTGGCGACGGATTCACATAGCCCGGATACGCCAATTCTTGCCAGCTACACCCCCCAGGATGGTACTGAGCCTGCAGTAGAGGTGAGAGTGGACTCGGTCCCAGGAGGCAAGCTGCCGACACCCCATCACGTTGAGCCATCCGCTCCATCCATCGCCTCCATCCACGACGACGATTCCAGCATTGCCTCTGGTCCTCCAGCTCACGCCGTATTGTATTCTGCCGTCGAGACTTTTTTGAAGCCGGACACCATCTACTGTTTGATTCAATTCTTTCACCGAACAATATATCCAATGTGAGTACTGGACTGCACCTTGCCTTGCAGGGCTGGATTCAATTTATCTCCCTGGCCCACGAGCAAGCTACTGAAGAACAAACAAGACGCCCATACTTTCATTGGCCCACCTTTGAGGCCCAAGTTCGCGGGCAAGAATATCGGTCGGACTGGGGTATATATGTGGTCACCATGGCGGTTTGCGCCCTCGCGGCCGGACGCGTGCATGGGTGTCTCGCCGTCTCTACCGACCTGACTCTGACCGGCTTCGAAGCCAGGGAGCTGTCTCTTCGGTGCTACGCTGCCGCCGTCGGTGCAATACCTCTGGATGTCACCATCATCGATGATTACTGTCAGGCCATGAAAGCCAGCGCCCTCTTGGCTTCAGCCTGCTTGCAGAATGGAGATATGGCGAAGCTCGTGGCACACATGACCAATTATTTCTGCCTGTCTACCATCCACAAGTTCGATCGGGAGGCCTTTTGGCCAAACGACCTGAATGAGATTCAGCGACAAGAACGCCGCAGACTAGTACGTAGCTTCTGAAATCCTCACCTCTTCTCCTTGCAGGGATTCGTGCTTCAGGGAGCTGCCGCAGGTCGATTATCTTTAGGCTAACGGAGACCACAAATTCTCAAGTTCTGGTGCGTTTATCAACAAGAACGATATCTCTCAATCAACTTTGACCTACCGACGCTGCAGGCCGAGGGAAAGGCGACCGTTCTTTACCCGGCAGAAGTTGTGGACGATGAGGACATCACGGCCACGGGGCTGCAGCTAAGGCCGGACCAGGTCTCCTTCCTCCGCGGGTGGAACTTCTGCACGGATATGTATCGACTCCAGGAGAACATGGATCGAGCTCGCAGTATGAGAAAAGAGCCCACGACCGAGAGGCCTGAGTCGGTAACGAACGCCTTCTTAGCGCGGATAGAGCCACCGAAGGGCTTTCTTTCTGAAAGCCTCCAGTTCATCTCTAAGATGCATAGTGAGCTGCCACCCCGCCTGAGAGCCATTGAGAATATTACCGGAGATCTCCAGGCTGATCGATGTCGACTTGTGGGTAGGTCTCCCCTCCCTTTTCCCTGGCTGGTTCCGGGTCACGCAAAGCTCAACGTTGACCAGGAGTGTGATACAGCGTCTAACATCATCCTTACCACGCAAAACCTGAAGATGTACCTCGTCGGTAGAGAACCACCCAACCTGCAATTGCGGTGTTCCATCGCGAGTGAACTCTTAGACGAGCTCAGTGCTGCCCCCCTCGAGTTCTTTCAAAGCCTCAGTATGGGTTCCGTAAGTCATTGCCCAGCCTCTAGGAGTGCCCCAGCTACTGACCCGCGGCACGCAGCTGCATCACCTCGCTCAGGTCGGGCAGTTGCTCGGGGATGCTATCCAACCACCCATTTCTGCGTGGAGATATCTGGAAGTGAGAAATATCCTGCTTATTCTCGTAGAATTCCTCGAGAAGATTGAGTCCACTCGCCATTCGCCGTCCTGTCTCTCATCTAAGCTTCACCGTCAAATACGGGAAATCGATCGATTGATGCATGAATCTCTCAAGTCAAGTCAGGGCCCCGGTCTTCTTTCGATGGGGTGGAGCCTGCTATTGGGCCACCGCGCCAAAGACGAGGCTAGAAACAATGCTCCAACTCCGGTAACGCAACCCATGCTCAGCCCTTACACATGCGGCTCATGGCTAACAAGGGGAATCCTTACTCATCTGGTTCTCAAGGAGCATTATCCCGACTTATCCTCTCACTTGCTGAGGAGAACCGCGCCATATCCACCGTCTGCCTCGCCAACCCTATCACAGATCGGTCGTCTTTTGCAAGGTGCCGACTACACGTTGCCTCTTCATGATCTGTTCCCTGCTCAGGCCCGGCCTGTCGTCACCGAGCCTGCCTTCGTGCCCCAGGGCCAAACGGCAGATAATGGTGTCGGTAGGGCACCACAACCTTCACCACTCAGTCTCACCGACACAAATCTCCTCTTCCCGTTTACCCAACCCGATCCCCTGCCGGCGGGGTTATTTGATGGCTGGCCGCCCATAGTGACATAGAAGGAAGGACCATACTCTCTAAGACTACAGAGTTATCTCTCTCTCTCCCAGCACAGCACCGGTATTTTATGCAGGATATACAGTCTGATATGTACATGTCCGTGAGCTCAATCTCTAGCTGTCAAGTGTACCTGAATTGGACCATGTGAATCACAGTTTCTGGCGCATTCTTGTCGGCCAATCAGATGCTCTCTTGAATATCGGAGCACGTCCAGATCTCCAGTCAGATATGTCGCGAGAACCAAGTCCCATGTGACAACTTCAGTCAATAGTAGGCTCCCTGTTCGCCACCGATGGGTAAACACATAGACAAGCCTCCCGCACGCGGAAGTTGGCTGGACCGAAGTCGGGTCAATTCCCCGGTTCCACTCGAGGTGTTTATCAGACCTTCTGTTAAACCGTTTTGCTCTTGTTTTCTCTTTTTTTTTTTTTTTTTTTTTTTTGTGTTTCCTTGTTTTGCCCATATTCTTTATGCGACGCTTGGTACTTTGTACTTTCTGCCGGCTGTGACATGTAGGCAAGCATGACGGCAGACCAATCCGCGGCCATATGGAGACTCTGGGTGGCGTGAGGCTGCGCAATTGACGTAGTCAGGGCAGAAGATAAAAGAAGCCACAACGAACTGGCTCCTTTATACCAAATCATAATTTCATGCCCAAGAATCAAATATCCAATATTTCGGTCAAAATCGAATCCAATCTCCCACCATCTGCTCATTCTGTTCAAGTCAAGATGACCACTACAACGACCACGGCTGCAGCTACCACTGATCGGACTCTGAAGATGGGCCTCAACGCCTCTGCTAATGTGAGTCTTTTCTGCCTCGTGAACCAAGAATGGACGGCCATTTACGCACAGAGAGAGCCGCATTTACCATCTTCAATCTACCCAACCGCTGGAGGTTTACCAAAGTAGCTAACCGAGTGATGGAACCGGGGCTAGTCTCCGGAGTGGTTGCAGCATCTCCAGACGAGAGGATGGACCGTCGTTCGCGAGGCCATTCCGCGGGCCAAAGCTCTTGGGTATGCCGAGAAGGGCTATGAATGGCTTGAAAGCTGGAATCTGGGGTTCAACCGCCATGATCCCACCACCCGGAAAGCCACCAATCTGCCCTGGAATCTTCGTGGTGGTCTTTACAACAGGTACCTACCCTTGGCGTTGATCCTCATTCTTGACCTTTTTGCTCCCCCCTCTTTCTTTCCCTCTCGTTGGCCACCGCCCCCTTGCTCTTACACCGTTTCTAAACTGAATGAACGTTTGCAAAATTATCGTCACCTGACAAGTCTGCATTCAAAAAAGATACGGAATCGGGCATGAACAGTTCGTTTGGGACTTGAAGTCGGAGCCCGGCCTGATCGATAAGTTTGCCCAGGTCTGGGGTACTGACCAACTCCTGGTCTCTTTTGGTACGTGTCTACAGGTGGAGAATGCACTGATACTCACAACTCGCATAGATGGTATGAACCTGTCGATGCCCGAGAGTGAACGCCCGAAAACGGATCCGATCTTCGCCCCGTGGTCTCACGTGGATCAGTCGGCGTATAACGCTGAGTTCGACTGCGTGCAAGGGATCCTCAACCTGCTGCCTAACGGTCCTGAAGATGGCGGGCTGATGGTTCTGGACGGATCCAGTGCCTATTACACTGAGCTCTGGGAGCGATTCGAGCACAAGAAGCCGGAGAATGGGTGGAACGCCTGGGCCTTTCAGCTGGTCGATGAGGATATGTGTAGCTGGCTAGAGTCAAAGGGATGTAAATGGGTCAAGGTCTGCGCTCAGCCAGGGGATCTTCTTCTGTGGGATTCGGTAAGGCACATATTCCACAACCCACCCGTCCGCATCCCAACATGCAACGGTGAAAGACAATGCTGATTCTAGGGGCGAAATCTATTACCAGCGCACCATTCACTACGGCGCTCCCCCCTCATCGACTAATGATCGCTTCGCCGCCTGTAAGAGAGCTGTCCTTGTCCTTCGCTTTCCGTTTTAGTGTGCTTCTCCTTCCCACCGGCATCTGCCCCCTTGCCTTCGTTCCCCCCATCTGGAGTCCCCTCCCGGACTAGTTTCCCAGCCCCCTCCATCGGTTCCGAGCTTTCTGTGGCGAAAGTACTAATGACCAGGTGAAGATGTCTGTTACAAGCCCGCGAGTGTCGTGGCAGATGAAGTCAAACAGCAGCGACTGGAGGCGTTTGCATCTCGCGCGAATATTACCCATGACCCGGCCAACTTCCGCGTCAAGGAGCGTCTTCCACCACGCGACCACCCATCATACGATGTGGCGATTCGACGTCCTTTGCAGAATCCAGTGCTTACCAAGCGAGCCCGGCAGCTGATTGGACTAGATCCATACTAGAACGGGCACAACTGGGAGGGGCTCGAGGGATCGGGGGGCGACAGTCGGATCTAGCCACAAACTCGGAACTGAGATGGCTCCGCTTGTTAGTTATATTATGAAATATTTGACGATGGGCCATTGAGCTTGTCAGTGCTGTATCTAGCTCTGCGACTGGTCTCTTCATTGGTTTTGTGTGTTCAGGAATACATAACTTTGAGTTGCTATCTCATAGGGTGCAAAGTCCAGGACGGTGTGGATCCATGTCTCCGATCACCGAACTACGGGGTTTCCGGGTATTCACCCCACACTCCAATTTGTAAGGGCTATTTTACAGTAGCGTAGATTTACGGTTAAACCTGGGGACCCCCCATGTTTTGCCATTGGAGGTTGCTTGTTCGGGACTTGTGCGGGGGAAAGGGGGCCGGGAAGTGCCGGGCTTCGGAGCCCTATACATATGTAGAGCGAACCCTTGGTGACGGCCCTTATTCATCCTCATTCAAGCCAGCCACCACAATCTTCTCAGACTCCGCTTCTCTGTGCTCCTACCAAAAATGCTCGAACGATTCCTACGTGCCAAGGAAGATCGGCCTACGCCGCCGGAAGTGGTGAGTGTTTTGCCTCCTTGTTCGCTGGATGTACAGCCCTTGGTGAGAAAGCCCATGGTTACTAACATCTGGCTTGTCGGACCTTAGTACAATCTCAGGCTATACTTCACGGTGATGGCCATCTCCATGAGTCTCCTGGTATTCGGATACGACACCTCTTTCATTGGCACGACGCTGGAAATCCCCAGCTTCACGCATGACTTCGGGCTGGACGGCATGTCGGCGGCGGAGAAAAGCGCGACGACGGGCAACCTCACCAGTGTCTTCTCCGTCGGGGCGTTTTTCGGCAGCGTGCTGATGTTCTTCATCTTCGAGGTCTTCGGTCGACGGGTCAGCCTGTTGATCGCCGACGTGGTGGCCATCGTGGGGGCGGTGCTGTGCACGGCAGCGAATGGCCATCTCGGCGTCCTCTATACAGGCCGCGTGCTCTGCGGGTTTGGGGTTGGAGGCTTCGTCTCAGTCGTCCCCATCTATATCTCCGAACTGTCGCCCCCCGCGGTCCGGGGCCGGATGACCGGCTTGTTCGAGGCCTTCTACCAGATGGGCTCCCTGGTGGGATTCTGGATAAACTTCGGGATTAAGCGCCACATCGACACGAGCCACTCCCTCGCCTGGCGTATCCCCATGGCGATGCAGCTGATCCCCGTTGGCCTCGTTGCTCTGTGTTTCCCCGTCCTCCAGGAATCCCCGACCTGGCTCTTAAAGCAAGGCCGCCTCGTTGAAGCCACTAAGGCGTTCGCATATCTGCGTCAGCTCCCGGTTGACCACCACTACATTCTGGAAGATGTGGCCTTTGTCCAGGCCCAGCTGGCGGTCGAGCAGACACTGACAACCGCCACGGCGACTGTCGCCGACACAGCAGCAACAGCAGAAAACAGACGGCACGTGCACCAGCCCGGACATGTCCGACTCTTGACCCATCTGCGGGGCGCCTGGCGGGAGGGGCGGATGAAGGGGATGCGCAATCGGTTCGGACTGGTGATTATGATGACAACCTTCCAGGCGTGGGGCGGTGCGGTGGCCGTGAACTATTACTCGCCGATCATCTTCCGGGCGATCGGGCTGGAGAACACAACACTCTGGACCGGGGTGTACGGGGTGATCAAGTCGGTGTCGGCGATCATCTACTTTCTGTGCTTCATCGAGACGGCGGGGCGGAAGTGGCCGTGGGTGATCTCGTGCGTGGGCTGCGCGTGCTGCATGTACTACCTGGGCGCCTACGTCGAGCTGGTCAACGCCCACGGCCTGGTCAACGCCGCCGCGGCGCGCGCCGCCGCCGCCGCCATCATGATCTACGGCTTCATGTGGTCCTTCGGCGCCAACGGCCTGCCGCTCATCATCGCCGCCGAGATCTTCCCCCCGAGCCTGCGCAGCGTGAGTGGGCCCTTCGCCGGCGTCTTCATCTGGCTGTGGTCCTTTACCGTGACCAAGGTCAACCCCTACATGTTCACCGGCATGGGCCCCGGCGGCTGCGGCGTCTACCTGTTTTTCGGAAGCATGTTGTTTTGTTCTGCCTGCTTCGCCGTCTTCTTCATCCCCGAGACCAAGGGCCTGCGTATCGACCAGATGGACCGGCTTTTCGGCGCGGTCGATGGCCAGAGCCACGACTATTACCAAGAGGCGGAGGCGGTGATCGAGACGGAGAAGAAGTGCGGGGAGGTCCAGATGCTGGAGAATGTGGTGTAAGCCGTTTGGTCAAGGGAAGTCGCGTCTGATATCTTGAGCCTTGCGATTGTCCACGGGATAGTCCGGTTGTATAAATTGGTGGGGGCGCCACTGCGTCGGGTGGATGCTTCCCTTGCATTCCCTTTTTTTATGAATCTTGACTCAGGTCATCTATACTACATTGGTTGTTGGTTGTTGTCATAGGGGTCATTATGAGCCGTGGAGCCCAGCATGTCGCACATGCGGATTGAAAGCTAAGAACTATGAGCGACAATTCTTGTACCGTTGCGGACCACATCGAGTGGGCATTTCCCTGAGTAGAATACAGGGAGATTTATGTACGAATTTAAATCCCCAATGCTAATTCATATTTGAGATGGAGACTTCAAGACATCTGAGTGAGAATGGTTAGAGGGCTTAAATGTCTGAGGCACCAATAGGGCCAGATGCTTGGTGGGAGTATAAATCTCTGCATTTCCGCGGACACGAACAAACTGATTATATTCATTATCCATATGACAGTCGCAGCCTGACACTCCGCAGCCTGAAACTTTGCAGCCTGAACTCTGACTGCACCTCAGCTTCACACAACTGCCATTGTGATTGGCCCGAGCGTCTATCGATCAGACGTTGGCCTTACGGTGGCCTGAGGGTCCAGGCAGCAGTAAAGCTAGTCCCGAATGGGCTTAGCGGATGCGAGCCAACCAATGGGGGAGCCTGTTGTTGCTCGTTCCCATGCAGGGATCGGGCTGAATGCAACATCTATATTTGCAACAAAGGATCAAGGCTGCCTGGATGAGCCTCATCCTGGACAAAATCTTGCAGACAGTAAGGTTAGGGTCGTATATATAAGTGGTCATGATTCTGCAGAAGAGAGTAGATAAATAATCCAAGCATCATTGCAGCAATGAGCACAACGACCTCCATCGCAACGGCCACCAGTGCCCTAACTTCCGCAACCTCCACCGAAACATGCTCCCATCCCCAACCTGGCAAGAATGGCTATCTGCCGCCAGAAGCATGCGACGCAATCTTGATGTACGTGCCGTCGTTTGCAGCCGCCGTACTTTTCTGTGTCTTCTTCGGCTTCACCACCATCTGCCACCTCGTCCAAGCGGTTATCTACAAGAAGGTATTCCTCGGCGTGGACCCCTCTCCGCCCCGCAATCCTGCTAACAACTCCCAGAGATACGCTTGGGTAGTGACTATGGGCGCCCTTTGGGAGCTCCTAGCCTTCATCTTCCGCGCCCTCCTCACGCGGAAACAAAACAGCGACATCTACAGCACCTTGTACACGATCTTCTTTTTACTGGCACCGATCTGTGAGCACCGCCTTTTCTACCCAAACCTACCGCTCTCAACCATAGTTCCTCCAGCCATCCAGTCTCTTCCACTAACTGAACACCGCAAAAGGGATCAACGCCTACCTCTACATGACTCTAGGCCGACTCATCCACTTCTTCCTCCCAACCCGCCGCCTGGCCAACCTCACCTCCACGCACTACGCCCGCCTCTTCGTCTGGCTGGACATCGTGGCCTTCCTCGTCCAGCTCGCCGGCGCCTTCATGACCACGGGCGAGGACCAACCGCAGTCCACCACAATGCGAGGCCTGCACATCTACATGGGCGGAATCGGGATGCAGGAGTTCTTTGTGCTGATCTTCACGGGGCTGGCCATCCACCTGCACCGGAAAATGCTGTTGATGGAGCGCGACGGCCTTCTCGACATGGGGCGCGTGCACCGCGCGGCCGGACCGTGCCGACCGACCTGGAAAAAACTGCTGGCCGTGATGTACCTCGCGCTGGCGCTGATCACGGTGCGCATCGTGTTCCGGCTGGCGCAGTACGCGCGCGGCACGGACGTGAACAACCCCGTGTTGACGCATGAGTGGTACGAGTATGTGTTCGATGCGGTGCCCATGTTCGTGGCGCTGGTGGGGTTGAATGTCGTGCATCCGGGCCAGGTGCTGAGGGGGGAAGGGTCGGAGTTCCCGCGGTTGAGTCGGAAGGAGAAGAAGGCTTTGAAGCGGGAGAAGAAGGAGCGCAAGCGGGAGGAAAGGATGAGACGGAAGCTTGGGGACGGGGAGTCGTTTGAGGAGTTGGGGGTGCTGGAGGGGGGACATGCTGGCATGCGGAATTAGGGCTGGGTCTGCTTTGTATGGCTTATGTTGTTCAGACTGTGTTCATGCTGTTATATATCATCTAAGCGTTGCTAGCCGCGGATTCCGGATAAGCTCACGATCCTTCAGTCTTGGGCAGTAATAGCTCGTCTTAACATTGGGCCTTAAGGTTGTGATGAATCGGCCACCGGTGGTTAATATATTATGGTTTGACAGTAGATCACCGGAAGACCAGTGAGCAGCACTGCTGGGGTGCGCTGTGGAGCCAATCCTCTTGGCCCAAGCGCACTGAAGTTAGGCAGTGAGTGAAACTGTCTCAGTTGCCTAGGATCTGGACTACAGCATGGACATGTACAGCTACAGGAATCTAGGCTATCCCCTCGCCGATCCTTGGGTACCGTTTCCGCGCCAAGCATTGGCATTGGCGACCATGAACGCTCCTACGGACATGAAATGGAAACGCAATGTCTTCCCCGAGCATATCTAACAAGCATCACTTCTATCACCACGTTTCCACCCAGACAAAGGCCCCAAATGCCCGACGACCTCTGTCCATGGGAGGCGCCGATCCTCCTCGCCGCCGCGAGCGGACATACCGCCGAACTCAAAGAATACCTGGAAAACGGCGACGAGGTGGATGCGCGTGACGCGGAGTACGGACGGAGCTGCCTGGCGTGGGCCGTGGTAAATGGCCATGTAGATGCGGTGCGACTGCTCCTACAACACAGCGCCGATCCCGACGCCCCCGATGTGGGCGGTCGAACGCCCTTGTTGCACGCCATTGCCACCAGAGAGGAGGATACTGTCAGGCTGCTGCTGGACGTGGGCGCCCGGGTCGACCAGGCGGATTTTCAGGGGCGATCGCCGCTGATCGCGGCGGCGCAGCGGGGCTGCTCGGAGTCGCTGGTCACAATGCTGCTGCAGGCCGGAGCGGATCCGGACGCGCGGGACTGGCGCTATGGCGGGACGGCGGTGTCCTGGGCGGCCAGACGGGGCTACGAGGGGATCGTCCGGGTCTTACTGGAGCGTAATGCCGCAGTGGATGTGGGAGATGAATGCCAGCGGACACCGATAGCGTGGGCGGCACGGAAAGGACATGCGGACATTGTCAAACTGCTGTTGGAGAGGGATGCGTGCCTGGACGTCCAAGACAGCGACGGTCAGACGCCGTTCGAGGCGGCGTTTGAGGCTGGCCATGATGGTCTGGTTCAGCTCCTTCGAGGAAAGTCGATCAAAGAGATCCATGATGAATTGGCTGCACGTCCTCCTGCTGCGAAGCTGGCCGACCTGCGCACATTTTTTAAGACCGTCACCCCTGGGTTTGATCTCAACGATCCCCGAGACGGCGAGGTCTTGATCTGGGCCATCCGAAACGAGCGCGAGGAGGATGCAATTTTGCTGATTGAGCAGGGAGCGGATGTGAATCACCAGGATGAGAATGGTATGACTGCGCTCGCGTGGGCCGCAAGCCATGGCCAGGTGGGGGTTGTAGAAGCCCTAATCGAGGCGGGTGCTGACTCGGATCCCGTGGATGGAGATGGATGGACTCCGCTCATGCTGGCTGCTGAGAAAGACCATTCCGAGGTGGTGCGCATCCTGCTGGGCAAGAACGTCAACGTCAACAGAAAGAATGAGGAGGACATGACGGCCCTACTCTGTGCATCGTGTGAAACGGTTGTGGCCCTTCTTTTAGATGCAGGGGCCGATCCAAATGACGCCGACCTAAACGGACGGACGCCAATCAGCTATGCTGCCGAGAGAGGCGATGAATCATCGGTGATGCTGTTGTTGGAGAGGGGTGCCATGATCGACGATGGCCAGGAGTCGTCGCCGCTAATGGAAGCCATCAGCCAGCATGACATGGCATTTGTCAAGCTGCTCCTTGAAAAGGGCGCGGATCCATACTCGGATGAGTATAGCTGCTGCGAGTATCCTCCACTACGACATGCGGCAGATCATGGCCAAGTGGAAATCGCACGGTTGCTCTTGGAGAAAGATGCTGTATCCGCCGAAACCAAGAAAGATCATATACTCCGAGCAATTGATTCAGCCTGTGAGGCAGGGCATGACTATATGGTCGAATTGCTGATGAGTCAGTATCCCTTTGGGTGCACTGACGATGAGGATTTGCGTCAAGAGCTCCAGGGGGTCACCGACGAGGTCGCTGAGCGATATGGGTATGACCTACTGGCCGATATGATTCCTGCGAGGGTGAATAGACTGCATATGGGAAGTTTTAATGCGCAATGAGCTAGTGCTTGGGTGAAGAGTGTCTGCGTTCTGGGCTCTGGGGCCAATGTCTCTTATAAGGGGCATGTGGGCGATGTGGTGATAGTAAAGCTTCTTCTCGGGGTAAAGGCATATGCTGCCGTATCAGCTTTGACGCACAATATAGGCTAGCAGTTGTTTGGTCCATTGAACCATTGAAGCTTGTTTCCCGTCATCGAACTGTAGCTGACGACCATTAATGACTAGGTATTCATCGTGCCGTAGAGATTGAGCTAGCGACCATATGTTAGCTTACAAAGTGATGATCTGATATAGCCTTGGCCTGGCTTCCTCAGTTTGAGGAAAGTACGGAGGTACTATTGAATTGACTTCGTTTGAGATAAGGCAGGTCTATTCTTTCCTTGGGTCAAAATCCTAGTCTGCGTCAAGCTGTATACTAGATCATGAGCCCCTCCAGTGGGTTTTCGCATTGATCAACAGCCGACACACAAAATGGAGTGAGTATACAGACCGTCTCTCACCCGACAGCCGGGGTTCGATTTCCTGTGTTGGAGATCCTTATTTCTTGGGCTCGGGCATAAATCGGAACCAAAAAGCCCAATCCTCGGCATGCCGATCCTCTCCCAATCAGGCTGCTCCGGTCGCTGCAGTGGTCTAATGCAGCAACATGCA